GAATAGTCGGAATCCGGTAGATCGTGCCCAACAACTGGTCGATATCGTTGATAATCGTTAATTACTTGGACCATGATAGTCTCGAAACGGTAGATTCTTTAAAAAAGAAAGAAAGTAGAAGAAACGCGGATCAGATTTTTCTACGTTATCGACCTGCAAACACGTAGCGCGTAGATTCGAACGTGAAATAACCGTCGACGAGTATCGGAAGTTCGCGATATTGTTGCGCGCGATCGACCGGAAGCTCGAGAGAGAAAGATTAACACGGCATACTTTGGGCATTTATTTCAGTCGCGCTGTAGAGAACCGCGATTGAACGAGAGAGTGACGAATGACGAACAGATCGCAAATATGTGGTTCGCAGCTTTGAAACATGTGATACGTCGGCCGGCAAAGATCGACTTCCGATATCGCTTAAACGACCACGAACAAGAAAGTGAGCAGTATGTTGAAACCAGACGAATGACGGAAGTCGATTGGCGGGCTGGCGCATTTTTTAAAGATTCTTTGAAGTAGGACGCTCTTTTGTTGAAGATTGATTGTTATCAAAATGGTTGTGAGGTTATACTATTTGAAATGTGTTAACGATGCGACGCGAACATTCGATCGATCGATTGCCACGGTTCACAGAAACGGACAAATTCAGATGATTCGAGCGAAAGAAGGAGCAAAGATTCCTTCTCGCGTTCCGCGTAACCGTGAGGCAATCGTTTCGGAGAATCGCCGACGAAGAGACGAGAGGAAAACCGCGCGTTCTCGTGCGACGGAAATCGCGCGTGATTCTACAAATCGTGAACATTCCGCTCGAAAGCCTAGCTTCTTTAACTAGATAGTTGACCGTGCGAGTTTCCGCTTGAAATTTTACTCGCGAGAACGCGCGATTCCTCGAAATGTTACTAGTCGTCTCCGAGGAAGCGTACAACTGGCATTAACCCGCGTACAGTCTGGTTCGAAGCTCATCAAAATTTTTGTAAATCGACGACGTTTTTTTCCCCATCGATTTCCCACTAAATTTACCAAAAATATTTCACTTTTGACGCGACTGAAATTCGTTTAAACTTGACAACTTATCCGCCAGACATTCATCGAAAGCGAAATTGAAGATCGGTTATAAGAATGACGTTCCTATCGATCAGCGAACGGTGGATAAGGCGTCAAGCGAGATCTAATAAGCGAAACGTCGTCGAATAGAGCAACCAGACTAACGGAAGAACATGCGACTGATATGAAGCAGTATTCGTGCGAGAAATTGTAAAATAAAATTCGCGTAACCTAGCCTTAATACGAAAGATTGAATTAGGTTTAATTGGATCGGCACCAGGGGTTGTTGGTCCCTTCGTCGAAATTATCTCGATTGGCTGTAAAAATGTTATCGCGAACGAGAAAGCACTGCGTAAGCGACGTTAAACTAAACTCGTCTTCGAGAGGATCGAAGGAAACGATCGAGGCTCGAAGACGTCGCCGAAAGTGTTCGTTCTCGCGCGGTGACGTATTTAGTGAGAGTAATGTTATTAGATAACTTAAGCGTATTATAAAACGAGCGTAAAGAAATGCCAGTTGTAAGAAAATTTGTTTTTCTTTTGTTTTAAGAACATAAAAAAGAACATAAGAATATAAAAAAAGGAAAGAAACAGATAGTCAGGTAAACATGTGTATCGATAAAGATGTTCGATGAACAGCAACGTACCCGTTGATCGTCAGGAAACGTGCAAAAGCAGAAAGAGTAAAAAACAAAATGATTAAGAAACACGCGAACAAACGAAATCGAAAGTAGAACCAAAATTCCATTTCGAACGTAAGAACGAAAGGCACGGGGAAGAAAGTTTCCGAAACGGCATATCACTTTCGGTCGCGACGTTGCTGATATTATAATACATACACGCTGTGACTTCTATTTTCCGTTTTCCTTTCTTACGCTTCTATTTGATTGCCATGATGGGAACGATCACGAGTTCCGTAGGAAAATACGAAACAACGGAGAAACTATCGGATAACGTAGGATAATAAAAAATAAAGATAAAGGAGAAGGATAGAAAATGGAAAAGAAGGAAAAAATAGCAGAAAGCGAATTGAAATGAGCAAACGAAACATACATTGTCATGTGTATACGCGAAATAGGAATTTTCTTCTTTTTGTTCGAGAAACGACAGCTTTACCGATAGTTGAACAATAGTTGTTCGCAACATGGACACACACCTACATACACACGCGCGCACACACGCCCACACACACACACATACGCGCGCGCGCGTACACGTACACGTATACGCGCGAGCATATACATATAAAGCGATCCATGCGACGATAAGCTAAAACAAACAAAAAATAAAAAGAAACAAAGTTGTACGAATATAACGTTTGCAGTTAGGTGGGACCAAAAACGACTTTATATCTCTATGTGCATATCCAAGCAACGTGTAATTTAATTAATGAATTAATTAATTATCCATTATTAACGAATAGGTAAAGACAAAACAGATCCATTGATAGCGATCGAGGACGATGACGAATCATTAACTGATAAGTAGATTATCAAATTTGTTTATTGATGCATTATTCTATGATATATTATTATTATTATTATTATTAACTTTATTACCTTTATTATTATTTTATTATTAGTAATTAATGACGATAATATTATTATTATTTAAACAACATTCTAAGACATGATTATCTATATAGATATCGAGTAGAGCAGTACGTATCTTTAATTATTAATTATTTCTAATTATTATTATTATTATTATTATTATGAGATATTTTGTTGTATTATTTTCAATAAAATCGATTGAAAATATTTAATTTCATTTTGTTTTGTTTTTATTTGCGTTTCGCTTAAAGTTCTCGCTTGATCAAAGTGATTTCCTCTTTCTTTCGGATATCGATCGTTTACGGTCATTCGGTTGCCTTCATCGAAGACGATCACGATCAACTGAATCGATATAGAAATGTTTTCAAAGGGGCGATGAAAATAAAATTTCGTTAAACACTTTAGATGGAAAAGTAGAAAGAGAAAGAAAGACTTGAAATCATGGCTCTCCACCAGATCCCACCTTTTTCTCTTCTTCGATGCTTCGATCCAAGTCGACTGTCCTTTGCTTTCGTTTTCTTTCGTAGTCGAGTTCAATTAATTGGCCGTGTCCTCGTACGATTTTCTTACCTGTAAAACCACCCCTCCGAGCACTCTCCTCTTGCGCTTCTTTCTCTTCTCTCTTCAATACGGGTCTGCCCTCTTCATTCATTTTTCTTTTCCTTTTAATCTCACGGTATCCTTGGATGATTTTCGAGACCCGAAAAGAACCGAGGAAAAACGGGATGAACGATCGAATAGAAACAACACACACGCACGCGTACGAACATTTTTTTTTTAGACGGAAAAGATTAAAAACGAAAACAGAGCAGAACGAATTTTTAGAAGAAGAAAGAGACAGGGAAGAAACGCCAGAGACGAAGAGGTTAGAAAGAGGAAACTTTAGTAAAAGGTGTGTAAATAAGATTGCGATCGAAACAGTAAAGAAGAAAAAGATACTCTGTTTGTTGAGACACGAAGAAGAAGAAGAAGAAGAAGCAGGAAGAACGCGTGGAAGCAAGCATACAAACGAACGAACACGAGCAAACGCGTAATACACAAAAAAAAAAACTAAACGACAGCAACAAAAACTAACGTGGAAAAAGTAAAACGAACAGAAAAACAGAGAGAGAAACAAACCATAAAAAAAAGGAAAATAGTTGTAAATGCCACACACATACGCGTACACACATACACACACAAATGTACTAAGTAAGTTCATACTGCGTATTGCCTTTCTGACTTCGGTGTGAAAATATATAAATATACAACAAAAAAATGTCAGTCGTGCCGGGACCCGGGGATTTTCGAGCGACTGATATACATATATAGATAATTAACGGTGTCTCCGAGGGTCGGAGATGGTGCACAGTTCGTCGCGTTTTCCGTTTCCTCGACTTCGTCGTCGACGGAAACGACCCGAACGAACGAACGAAGGAAGACCTCGTAAAAACCTTTTATTAGATATAAAAGAAATGTTTTTTTTTTCTCGTCTACTGGATCTTCCTCCGTTTCGGTCACCGTATCGCGCATGATCGTCGATCGAAATGAATTGTTTAGAAATTATTGGGGGAAACGGAAGTCGCGTGAACAGAATCTTTTTTTTACGGTTCCACGAGATGTCCCAGGACGCTCAAGTCTTCGCGTCCCCGCCGGCTGTGTCTGTTTCATGTTTTTCAATATTTGTAATTTATCGATGAAATTATAAAAAGTATCGATACATAACAGTCTAAAGTGTGCGCTACTCTACATAATATTATTATATATAAAAATATAAAAGTATACATTATATATATATATATATAATATATATATATACATATATATTATATATGAGAAGTATAATATATATCTATATATTATACAAAACACATTGGGATTGGTGAGAATATACGGTTTTTTCGCTTTGGAGTGTTATTTTCTGAAAATATTGAACAAAATATGGAAAAAAAGTTAAAAAATAAAATCAATGAATACAAAAAATCAAACTGTTTCTTACTTTCGACGACAATTCCTGTGAGCGCCTCCTCAGATTTCGTTCTTCCGTTTCGACAAAAGAAATTGCTGATCCTTCGAGCATGCCCCGCAGCATTGTCTCCAAGGATTCGTCGGAAAGAGGATATGTCGAATTTACTACACGATTCAATGATTACCACCGAAAACAGAGGCGATCGATCGAACGAAATTCAGACCGAGGTTCGAGTTTTCTAACTAAGAGATTGCGTTGTTCGCGACGTTTATTATTTTGCTCGTGAAAATATTCAAACTTCTCGATCGACTATGTCCGCTCTAATGGAAAATTCGACTGGAAACTCCTCGAGTTCCGCTAAACGTTATTTTAATAACGAGTGTTTTTGAGACGGCTCCAGAAAACTTTGTTTATAGTAGGAGGGTTTACGAATTCGTGAAATTGGTTACGAAATTACAGCAAATCGAACTGGAACCCGTCAATGGATCCAACGCTTCCGGTGAGTTCGCCAGAAAGCTTTTGACAACCCTTCCATGCAAATTCAAGAGTTTACGGGGCATACCAATCACCGTCGACACCGAGAAACCTGTGGATCTCATCGAGTTAGAATTTCTTTGTTTAACCTGTCAGAAAGTTTGAAATCACCCTATTTATTGCCGACAACTTTTAATAATAAAACAATTTATAACACGATTATAATAGGTACATTTCAAACTTTTCAAACAGTGGTAAATCGAAATAAAATATTCATAACAATAATAGTAATATTTCTACAGATTGTTGGGGAACATTCTTGAGATCACGGATTACGCAACGAACATGGCATCATTCTGGTTTCTGGACATGCTGGCCCTGCAGATCTTGCATCATCATAAAGATCTGGATGAACATCATATCAGCGTATTGATCAGCTGGTTAATTGGAGAAATTACGTTGCTTCGAGGTAACAAAAATAGATGTTACGTGTAGATACCCGTTTCTATTTCAAACTTGCCATCGACAGACAGAAAGTGTTCCCGAGAAGAGTTTTTCAAAGAGATGGAAGAGATCTTCATGGTGGCGACTGACGAAATATCGGAACAAAACAAACTATTGTACTGGGATGAAGTTGTGTACGAAAATAACGCGGAGGAAGGGATCGAGGAAGAGGAGACACAGAATTCAATATTTCGAGAAGAGTCTGCCAAAACGTAACATTCTTCTTCACCGATACTTGGCTAAATAGAATAATACTCTTGTATAATACTCATAGTCTGCAGAAAGGGCAGCCGAAGGAGTTGGGAAGCAACGAGGAATTATCCCCTTCACAAGACACTACCAAGTTTTCTATTAATGTCGACCCTCTTTTCGCATTGAATAAAGTAATCGAATCTACGTATGATATGTGAGTACGTTAGTTGAGACGAAAATACAAAAATAAAGAATAAAATTAAATTTTACCCGGTAGGTATGCCAACGAATTACGATACGCGCTTGTTTACGCAGTTTTCGTTACACCGATAGAGATTCAGACTTACAATCTCCCGTTCGTTATTCGCGCACCACGTCCACCGAAGTTCGTAGATAAAACGATGTCTTTTAGTATGCGTCTCCGTGAAAATATGAAAAAAATTAAAGCAATTGAACGACTTAGGAAATCTATAGGTATAGCTAGTAATGTCTTCGATATTCTAGGTACCAGTAAAATAATATAGTTCTTAATGTTGCAGGTAAAAGACGGGATAAAGCGATCGAAATAGTGCCTGCGACTCCTGCACCCTCCTTGGACGACGAGAAAATGTTAATAGACAAGCGGTTATATATTTTACCACTGGCAGAAGCGAACGAGGAGTTCGAAGTGTTTGAATCTCAATTGAGTAGCATGTAATATTAAATGATAAAAGAATATGAGCTTCTTAAAAAATATTCTCTTTATTCTCCGTTTATAACACATCATTCGTAAAAAATTATCTCATTTCGTTATTAATACTGTACCCCATTCGCGACACTTAAAGTTTACAATTTTTTTTAAATCGAACGGCACTTTCAGTTTAACGAATTTAGGAGTGTTTAGAAGACTCTCCCGGAGTTGCCCTAACTGTCCGTATTTATTGCATCCGCTACCCCAAAGTGTTCCGTCATCTATTGTAAAAACATGTTTTAGAAATGTATTTTTTCTACGAAATGTCAGTATTCGATTTTAAACACGTACCCATCATGCAAATAGTGAAGTTATTTCCACATTCCACTTTCTTTACGAAAGTCTCTACATTTTTATTTTGATCGTCGGTAAAATCTACCAACGTGGGTACAGCTACCACTTTACTTTCTTGATTGGGTAACCCCAATTCTCCATTTGTGTTCCATCCCCAAGTATAAAGATCACCCTACAGTTCAAAATATGCCACATGAGAGATCTGTACTAATCTAATTGATTTCATTACACCTAGCATATTGACCTGTTCTGTTACTACTGCGCTATGAGAGCCTGCAGCTGAAATATGTGTAACTTTAATACCGGCTAAAGCTTCAATGAGTTTAGGACTATCACAGTCTTCTAGATCTCCGTGTCCTAGTTGACCGCGTCTATTTTATTTGAGTAAACATCCTTAGATTTAATCGAAAACATGGAACATTATGTATACATTACTGACTGAGACAATACATACGTTCCCATTCCCAGAGAATAAATATCACCATTTTGTGCAAGCAAGATGGTGTGATCAAATCCACAAGCAACATTTACAAATTGAACCCTTTTTGGCATTTCGACTAGTGTAGGAACATTAAAGACTCTACCTAAATTATAATTTACATGAGCATATTGATTTTACAATTTTGTCAATTTTAAACATACTGGATATGTACCTAGATTAGTTAAAACTACTGTACATCCTTCTTGCACTATTTTAACAGGATATTCGCTTTCTGAATCGCTTCTAACAGACATAAAATTAATTACTTTCTTCCAAGAATTATCATAAATTTTATATTGCCACATCTCATTGTCATTTGACAAAATTATTATATTGTCTTTACCAATTGCAGCTTGTTTGCAACTATAAAAATAATAGAGCCACAAAAAGACATATTTTCTTAAATTTGTTAAATCCATTATTCACTGCCATATAAAATATACCTATTTGTTATTGTTCCCGGTATTTGTATTAACTGCATATTTATATTAGAATCTGTACAATCTTTGTCTGTTCTCTTAATGATGTATAACTCTTTTTCCTTCCAAAGGAGAAAATATCCCCAACCAATTTGAAAATCGGTTATCCCAGAAATTTCAGTAAACGAATCTACCGCAAATGTTATGTCTCCATCTTTAGAGAATAACATGCTAGTATTAAAGCCAGCATAATAAAATGACATGTTTCTAAAATTGGAATAAACTATATGTACACAGAAGCATAAAAGTTCTTTATTGAATACATTATCTAGGCATAAGACCAATTAGTATAAAGAGAAATAAAATGATACATAGCAAATAGTTTAGTTTTCTATTTCTGTTTCCCACAAACAGGTAACAAAATGTACACCTGTTATTTTTATATAAATACCATGAAAGATTATTGGCCAGAAGGTGCAGATACCGTCAGTTTCCTTAGATACGAAAGAAACAACACAACAAATTGGGTGGAGAATAACCAAGTGGCAGACGTGTGCGAGTCGACTATTATCACCTTTTGATTCCCGGTTTGCAAATAATAAACAAAATATGGTAACGAATCAAAGACGATTGATTTTAAATGCACTACACTTCATTATGCACCTGTTTTCGCGCGAGACATGAATATCGAACCATAATCTGTGTACGACATAACCTATCAAACATGACAATTTCAAATTTCGTTGTAATCAACCTTGTTACAACGCGTATCATTCATTAGAAATATTCTGCATAATTTATAACGTGTTTCTATATCATATTTCTCGAAACACAATCATAGATTAACATAAAACTTTTCAATTTTCAATAACAGTCCCTACTCTTGTTCGGAACGCTGTTTTACTATCGTAAGATTATTCCGTCTGCTAGAACAGCAAAGAGCGCGAAATTTGAATTCATATATTATGCGCAATCCAATGATCTGATTATTCCTAATGTTTCCTAATTGTTTCACTAAATATAACAGAAAATGTAAACCGCAACGAAGTAGAAATATATGTACCAAGATTAAATCGTTATTTTACAACAGGGTCTCTTATCGATTTTGAGAAAATTACGCTCGAATCAGGACAAAGAACTGCGTCTGTTACTTTTAGGATTAGACAACGCTGGGAAAACCACAATTTTAAGATCTTTAGCTAGCGAAGATATCACACAGGTATAAAATATATCTTCTTTCGCTGTTCGAAATTATTGAAGCTCGTTTCTTACAGGTCACACCGACACAAGGTTTCAACATAAAAAGCGTACAGAGCGAGGGATTTAAATTGAACGTGTGGGACATAGGTGGTGCTCGAAAAATTCGTCCTTACTGGCGAAATTATTTTGAAAACACGGATGTTCTGGTAATTTCCCTGTTCGTAATATCGCGCAAGAACGTTCGAATACTGTTTACTTTCTTATTACAGATATATGTCGTGGACAGCGCGGATATAAAGAGACTAGAAGAAACGGGTCAAGAGTTATCAGAACTGTTGCTGGAGGAGAAGCTACGAGGTGTACCGCTGTTGGTATATGCAAACAAACAAGATCTTGGCCAGGCTGTAACCGCGGCTGAAATCGCGGAAGGACTGGGATTGCACAATATCAAAGATCGCGATTGGCAAATACAATCTTGCATCGCAACCGAGGGAAAAGGAGTGAAGGTATGTTTATTATTCCTTTCCGATACGTCTACTAAATGAATAAAATCGAAATACTTTATTGTCAGGAGGGCCTCGAATGGGCGTGCAAAAATATCAAGAGGAAATAATGACGAGATAAAGCACAGGAAAGAACTGGCCATGATGTGTCTTGTACATTTAACGTACATTTTATTATTTGGCTTTTATCTAATATTTACAGGAGTTGTTATACAGACGTTGCTGTTAATAAATCCGATGCAAAACGCATGCGCTCGATCTTCTGTCGTTGGAACTTTCGTCCCACCTGGAACGAGCTCTCGTTAAGCTCGAAATTCACGATGTTCCTAGGAACCTCGTAACCGAACGTGCCTTTCCACACGCTCCTCGTATAAAATAGAATTCTTATAGATCTCTTTAAAAGTAATAAATATAAAAATGGAATAAAACGAGATGCCGATAATTGTAGCTGGTTCTTTTTTCTATTCGTTCGTAGGAGGAACAATATTTATGAAATTCCAGTGAAAAATAAAGGTTTCTGCGAAAATCAAAATCTGGTTATTCGATTTTTTCACCTCCCCGTTTTATGTACACACCGTTAGGAGCATCGGTTTTTTCAAATAACTTTCCACCGAAAATAAATGCTATTTCATCGTCATACGTTCGCACGACACTTAGCTAATATATAAAAACGATCGACGAAACGGTAGTCGCCTTTCGCGACTTTGTGTCCATGGAATTGACTTTGGAGATCGCAAATGTCTTTCACAGGGCACACTCGTTGTAAGTTACGGATCAAAGTTCACTGTGAACGCTCTCCGTCGTAATTCGGATTTCTTCTTCGTGAAAATCTGTACACTCCGCCGGATACTTTTCCTGCAAAGTAAAAGCTCGACTTTACGCAATGTGCCTTACGAAATGTGATAAAATAGATGTACAAGAAGTTCTACTCACGACGCATTTTTCGTGATCCATAATGGCCCCGTACAGGGTCCAGAAATTGGTCCCTACTTTATTGCTGACGGCCCAAGCAGCCGGGAAACTAGTTACTTTCAACAAACCGCTTTGTAAACGCGATTTCGTATGATCCTTATCGTTTTGTTCGTTGATGGTGCACAGGATCTGGCTGGCGCATTGTGGCCTCTTAATTGCCCACTTATATGCTCGATACGACTATAAATTATATCACGAATTAAGAAAATGCATGCGAAAATGCTTGAAACTTCTTTCGGTTTCCTGTTACCTTCAGTATGGGATCGATGATGTCGTGGTTGATCGTGTCACTGAGTCTGTTGCTAATCTCCCTGCCGTTCAGTCGGGACATTATGAATCCTTTCTCTGAAGCGAGGGCGATTAATTCTTTGATGTACGCTTCCGCAGGCTTAATATATTGCGAGCTATCGATCTTCATTCCTAAATGTCTCCTCGCTACAGCGTTCACTACTCTATCGATTATAAAAACAAAGAAACTTTTAAAGACACGATTTGACTTCATAAATGTCCTATAAACTTTAATACCGTTTATCAATTACCTGGAAAGACTTTCTACGGGTCTCATCGCGTCGAACATGGACGATTTCGGGAAACCCTGCGATTTCAGAAAACTATTTCCAACAAATTGAACCGTGTTCAGGTAGCGTTGTTGGATCTGCGGGTCGGAGATATGGGAGATCCACTCTCCGATGTAATTTGTCAACGATCTGATCCATCTGCGCCGAACAGCGGGGTTCTCGAAATTGTCCAGAAGCTTCTCGTATTGAATGCGTCCCTCGGAATCGGAAATCTGACCAACGAAGTGCGACAAACCGCTCTTCTTCCACAACGTTTGACCCAGTTCCGAATTGCTGAAATGATCCCACATCACGTGCAAGTTCTCCAGGATCGGAGGCATGTACCAAGAGTGTCCCGAGTGATCGTGCGGCTTGCTAGATAGCCCAGCCACTTCGATACTTCCTAAATTTTGTAACAACATCGGTAAAAGGCCCATCAACAGTTCGGAGTTCCCATTCTGTCCCATGAACGAGCCAAAAACGTCGTCCAAATCTATCGTCGATTGATCCTGGTTCGTTTCGGTATCCGCGGATATTGACCTCTTGGTATTCTTGTTCGAACTCATCATACCGTCGAGAACCGATCCGATTACAGAAAAGTCGACACCCTGATTGTTTTCACTACCGCCAAGCAAGCTGCCGATGCCGGACACTATGTCTCCTAAATTATCCAAGTTAGACTTTCCATCCTGTTCGAGGGAATTGCATATAATTAGTACGATTCTTAACACGAAAGGAATGTATTACTCAAATGCATTTTGTATAAATGCGCCGTTTTGAAAATGGTACTACCAGCGCCATCTAATAATCGGTACGATCAACGGTAAAGCTGACGAAATAGAAAAATCTGTTTCGGACTTGGTTGGCGAAACATTCTACGCTCGTGTAACTCGGATAATTACACTATTGTGTGTAAAAGACGTTGCGCGTAACTTTTTTATAATTGCTGATGATTTTTAGATACTTATCATCGTCGGTGAAATGGAAAAGTTGCTTATTTCAAGAAAAAAAGATTATTTCGTTAGTTTTCTCGTTCACTGTTAGATGGCACTAGCTACATCATCTTCGGAGCGGGCAATAATACGAAATTAAAAAATTTGCATATTTTTAATTTGCTATTATTAATAGTATTATAGTGGCAGGTTTTATCACCTGTTTCCCCCCGTCCGATTGTATGAACGTCCTTGCTAAACCCTGTAGTCCATTCAAATTATCCTTGTTCGTAAAGAAGGACTTGGCTGCCTCGATGAACACCGCCGAAGCGTCCACATCGTCCTCGGCCTTTTCGCATCTTGCCAAAACCAACACGGTCAGCAGAACACACGTTCTGGGCAACCACATGTTTCTTCGGTTCCTTCAATGATTTCTGAAAGGAGGATGAGCGTGATTAATAGGGATACGGTCGTAGAACCTCTTTCTCGAGCCTACGGTGGTACGGAGCTAAAGGGAGTCGTTCACCTTCAACCGGATCTTGATCGTAGTCGAGTTATTTTAGGAAGGCACGCCTCTTTCGAGGTCGTCAGCAGGATTTTAAGCGCGAATGATACACCGGAAACGTTTCGGCTTGTGGTCACTCGAATACCGTTGTACGCGAACGTTATCTCGCTAACGATCGAGCCATTCGGTTCGTTCTTCGATTGTCCACGATCTCTATCTCGCGCTCATGCGTCTCTGCCACGAGAAAATGTAAGTTTGGACGCAACGTTAACTCCCTGGACTTTTTTAAAATTCTTTCAAAGCTTGAAGACTATTCCAAGTTATTTAGCGATAGCTGCGATATCGTATTCGACATTAGAAACATAATTAGCTGAACGCATATCTACCCATTATTGGTCTTGGGCCACGTCATTAGTTATTACCACAGTTTTCAGACAAACAGCTTTGCGCGAAAGTGGTGCAAACTACTAATTGCTCGGTTATCGGAAGCAATAAATTGCTATAATTTTCTTCGAGCGAGCGTTTAAATTCAGACCTTTGTATGAAAGCGCCGTTCTACACCTCTTTATGCGTCAGCCACACGCGAAAAAGATTGAAGCGGTCGGAGGACAGATCCAGAGGTATCTCGAATGAAAAGAAGGAACGAACAATCGGAGCGGTGTGTTCTAACGCGCAATTTGAGTACCGTAAACCGCATGAAATTGACATTCTTCGGGCCGAAGGAACGATTCTGGTTAACGGTACACACCGAGTTAGTCATCGCTCCTCCGACGCGCGAAACTCGCATCAATTGACAAGTCAGCCAACGTCCGCGACTGGACTTGATCCAGAAGAATTTCGGTAATCGCGCTAACTTCCCGAACGCGTTGATCTTTGCAGTTGGAAAAATCGTTTCGTTAATCGATGTTGCGCTCGGAAAGTTGCAGGGACGCGGCTCGTTCTCGCACGAACGAGAGGGAAAGCAAGCAGAACCGGAGGAGCGTTGTCGATTTCCAAGGTCAGCCGGATGTCGACTCGATCCTCTGCTTCCTCCTTTTGGTTCCTTCTCTCCGTACACCGCGCCGCGAACCAAAGAATACTCGAACGATGTAACGGTAAAATTCGTGTTATTAATAATGATTTTGCTCGACAACGCGTACCGTTCTCGAACAGCTGACGTATCGCTATCGAGGAAACTGAGGGAAGCAACAGAACGCTGTTATTAGGCTATAGAAAAGATTCATGGGGATCTGCTAAGCATTTTTATGAGTAATTAAAGAAGAGCTTGTTAGACACGCTCAGAATACTGTTCCATAGTCTGCAACGCAATTTGCTCATCTCTTATAATTCATCTGGCGGTTGGTCGTACTTTTTAATCGTACCTTTTCAACCTTCGCGCAGAATTTACAGAAACAGACTTTGAACGTCGCGCATTCTCTTGTTAGAAATATATTTTGCATTTTTTCTTGCAATTGGAACATTTAGAAAGATACATTATCATCGTATAGTGATAATACCGCCATTATAGTTAATTTCCGATGTGCTAAGGTAACAATGCCTGTTGTTTCCCCACAATTACGACACAGTTGGTGTCACGTACATTAAAAGTTAAACTGCCAACGCTTGCTTCTTTAACTTTTGAACAATAGCGAGTTTTAATCGATGCGAAGTAAATGCGGCAAATCGATTTACTGCTCCTACTTCAAATTCCCGAAATTAATGGACGCAAGTTTTTAATTATCGTTAAGTAAAAATTTACTGTTAAGCAGATAACGAGGGACCTTGGCGATTAAAGAACATTAGCATGACGAACAGAAGCTATCGATGACGAATAGGTTTTGAACATCGACAAATTTTAACCTTAAATCGTACTCGACCTTAATGAAAATTTGCATTGCCTCAACGGTGGTAACCTGTATCAATTGGAGCGTGATTGATCGAGTTTTCAACGTGGACATAATCACCGAAGCTTGGAACACCGGTATTCGATGCGTATCAGAAACTTACGATGCGTCAAAACGCGATCGGTGTCTTTCTACCCGACCAACGGTAAAATGCAACGAGTCAATGATTTCGTACGTTCCAGGAATTGAAATTTCTTTGAAAAAAACTGCTCTTTAATTCCTTTCTCGCGTGGCATATCGGTAACGAAACGAACACGAGTTATCGCTTTCATCGCTTAATTTCGCGATCGAGAGGAATGAGACTATGTCGTAGGAACCACTTGCAAACACGCATGAATTCGAGTTACCTGAGTATCCAAAAGATACAAGACGATGTCGACGAACAGAGAGTCCCGTTGGTCGCGAAGATCCGTGAGCACCTGACGCGACGAAGGTTGTGGCGTGACTGCCGTCGAAGGTAGCCCGACGAACGGTACTTACCTACCTGAGCAGGTAGGCACAACACCCTGCCACGAGCGCGAAAACCGATAACGTTGTGCATCGGTTCATCGGTTACAGCTCTTCCATGCCCACCGAATACACGCTGCATTTTTCCTTCAACTGGTCACTCGTTCTCACTGAATGGGACTGCACAAATCCTCCCTGTGTAGTTGTACTCTATGCTCCGGTACCGTAATCCTACGCACGGCCTTTTGTATCTTAGACTTTCATTAACTGTGCAACGTATGTTTATTTAGCACTTGTCGTTGGTACAGCATGCACGATCGAACGCATAAAACGTATTAACCTGCGTGTTTAATCTTTTGCCTCGTTGGAACTTCACGTCAAAGTTCCATTATTCTTTATATCGATGATCAACCGGAATCCTAGAAACAAGATTAAGATACACGAGAATGATTTTTACGTAGGACGAATAGGAAGGGAGTCTTGGAAAGAGTTAAGAAGGATCGTCGCCCTGAAGGACCGCGAAAGTTTCAGCATATGATTGGTCGGTGGTCGATAAAACCGGCTCCGACGATGTCCACTTTCGGTGGCTTTGTCCAACGAGCGATCATTGACCCCGAGAAGAATTGGGGAACGCGCGTCAACGCGGTGCCACGACGTCCCGTTTAATTCGAAACGCCAAGGTCGTGGATGAACCGTGTACAACTTATCAGGATCGTTCAACCGGTTCCAAACTATGTGGCTGATTGCCAGGGTTTAGGTATCACGATGATCATCGCCGGTATTCGACCGAGTTTAGTCCCACGAGTAGTCGTTCAAATGTATATGTCGTTTAAAAACTGAGAGACTTCACTGAAGTGGATGGGAGTTGGAGGTTTAATAAAGTCAGAATTAGAGACAGGTTTAGGTACAAAATCATTGTCGGTACGAGGACTGAAATGTATACTAATTATACTGGATAGTTTGAAGCCGATGTTCACTATAAGAGAACACAGATCAGGTTCACTCAGAGGGTGAACAGGGGTACACAATGTAATTTTTATTCTAATTAGTACACGTGCATTTGCGCGTATCGGTAATGAACATTAAAGCACCAGTAAGTCTCCCAGCATTCAATATCTATGAGCTACTCTTTTACCGTGATTAAGTTCCACAATATTATCGCCTTTAGTTACACGCGCGTTCCTACTCGTTGAAAAACACCGTTACGAGAGCAGGCTTCTTATTTTCATTCACGTTTTACTCGATGAACTTTTATACACGCGAAGCGGAACGTTGGAATTTCGCCTCAACGAAAGGTGAAATGCTTCGCAACCGAACAATATTTCCCCTCGAGCTATTCCCGTCTTCAGTTATTGAATAGAATTGATAACTTACGGTCAACGCGTTAAAAATGAATACAACATAAGAATAAGTTCATGTAGAAAAGAAGGGGTGCAAAATATATGTATAAGCACCCTTAAGCTATACAATATGCATACAATTTACACCCTCGGTCATCGAAACTCGTTCGAGTCGCTTCTAAAACTGTAGGTATCAAGAGGTTTAGGAAACGACAAACGTTTCAAGCTCTGGAGAAAAAGACTCTTGCCGATACGGCAGTGTTAACTCGTTAATTACTATAATAGAAAACAGCTAGGTACTGCATCGGTGCATGCGCGTGACGAAAACGGACAAGGAACGGACATAAAGCGAACTTTGACATACTTGGTTTTTGTAGGTTCGTTCAGTCGCTGTCAGAGAAGCTTCGTTACATTTCACCCTCGATTTTCGCGCCCGTTAGTTCGAACGAGGCTGACATTGTACCGCGACAAAAAATGAAGTGCTTTGCAACTGGACGATATATTCCATCAAGTTATTTGATCTCGCGTTTTCCTTCCGTTACATTAATAATTCATAAAGTACGTACAGTTGGTCCGTGATTGAAGGCGTTAAAAATGGATATCACTACCGTAACGTTTTATCAGGATCTGTGTATGGCAACATAAAAGAGAAAAGATATCGTACGTTGAAGAGTAAATAAAATTCTACTCGCTAGACCTGCAATCACGGCCGTTGTTTCCTTTTTTTCGCGACGATTTCCTCTGCAACAACTTTGTATTTTCGTTTGAACGAAAGTGTAGGTTGGCTGCAATCCTCAAAGGCATCGTGCACGTTCGCGTTAATAAAAGATCAAAAAGAACAAAGTCCGTATAAACGGGAATAAGCGTCACGCAAACTTGTCGTACGCGCAGCGATAAGCTGTATTTTGAATCGGAACGCGAAGTCAATTCTTCGACTGTCGACAACGAACGTTACTTCTTTCAACATGAAGATGGAAAATGATCGAAACGAAAGGATCGTTCACGATTTCATACCGCAACAGAGAATGCTGAGCATACTCGGGATTTGGCCGACGGACATCAACGACTTCGCATCTATCGTTCGATTTACTTTTGCCATTGCGATAGACGTAAGTTTTCTAATCGATAGCGACAATCTGATGGAATCGACTCTTCTACGGAATCCTTCCCGTAATTAGATCAGTTATATCTACAGTTTAGCCGTGGAGCTGTTTCGACGGTGTGTCAGCGTTGACGAAGTGATGGATGCTTTCATTATGCTCGTAGTCTGCAGCACCAGCATGTCAAAATTGTTAATTAATCGAATGAACTGGAAACATATGCACGTTCTTATTAACGCGGTGGTGAAAGATCGCTCGATCGTCAGAGATTCCCGTCACGAACGATTGATAATCAAGTACTTTCGGAAAGGGAGAGCCGTTTTCTTGGTGTTACTCTACATGTGCTACGTATCTGCACCCTCGCTCATCGTTAAAACTAACTCGTTCGACGAGGTGCTGAAACAGCAGGTATTGTTAGAAAATTCATTAAATGATAACGCAGACTTATACCTTAACATCTCTTTTTGAACAGAGTTCTGCTTCGTTTATTTGTCACGCACATTTTGTTTAGCTAGCGAAACATCTAATGGATTCGCCAGAAAGCTGGAACGCCACTTCGACAAACAATATGTCAGTGGTGACATGCATATATGGAATTGTGCCTTTGTATCTCAGAATCGGAATCGTGGTGCTGCAAGCGATGCAGGTAACTATCGTGACCATGATCCATTGCAGCAACGATGGATGGTTCTTCAGTTTGACGATGCACCTATGTAGCCAGTTCGAAGTTCTACAGATGGATCTTGAAGAAATTGAGTTCGAGAAGCGTGACTGTCTTAAAAAGTTCAGTTTACTGGTGAAGAGACACTGTTATCTCGTCAGGCTCGCGAACAACCTTAAACAGAGCTTCAGCACAACTATCCTGTTACAATTGTTGACGAGTACCCTCATGATCTGCGTGGAAGGTAATCAGTTAATTTTTCAGGATCAATCTCGCAAGTAGACAATGTGTCAGGAGTCTTCTTTAACAAAAAACAATTACTCTACATAATTATTTTACACAACGATATCGTAACGACTGTATAATACTCGTAATATTTCCGTGTGCATCAGGTTTCGTGTTTCTGGTCAACTTAAGTACAGGAGATAGTATGGGCACATTGAAAAGCGTGTTACTGATACTCACGATGATTATACAACTGTACCTATATGCCTACGCCGGCGACATGTTGGAGTCTCGAGCAGAAGGTGTTGCAAATGCCGTGTACAAATCGTCCTGGTATCTTGTACGAGGTAACGCGGCAAGGGGGCTGACGTTGATGATCCATCGCGGACATTTATCGTGCCACGTGACCGCCGGAAAATTTGCACCCATGAACAGACTCACTTTCAAAGAAGCAATGAAAGCTTCCGCCTCTTACCTGTCGGTTTTGAGAGTAATGATGAAAATGTAAACGCTATTTGATATGGAACTTTCTCTGTTTGTAATAAAGACAATAATAACACTATTTATTATGAAAGAAAATAATATTTTCTCCCACGAAGATAAGGTTGAACGAATAATAAACTTATGATACGTATGTGGAATTTACCACAGTTTTACTGGTTCGAAATCATCGATTGCGAGTTAGATGTTGGAGTGACTCTTATGTTCTCCTTTAGGGATCTTTACGATAAACGAAGCCTATTCACGATAGAAAAGTTGGAAAATTTTAAAGGGTATTTCAACATTCCCGTCGTCCTTCGAACGCGGTACCCAACAATAATTTGCAAGTTGGTGGAAACAGAAGGGATATTCGATGACAAGTAGTTAAGCGATTATGGGTGAATAATATATGAGTTTGAAAGCAGTAGTTTCTAGTGCTCCAGAAGCATTTGACAAGAATGAAGATACCGAAGAACACAGACTTGGCTTACGCGATGTCTCCGCTGGAGATCGTGGCGTGGCCCCTTGGTACCTGGCCACTTCGAGAGGAAAACGCGACAGCGATCGCGAATTCTGCCATTACACTCTTCATTCTCGTAAGAGTTTATGTTCCAAAGGTTTAAATAATTTCAATGTAACCATTCGTCGTTTTCGCAGATAGTAATGTTACTCATCACGTACGTCGAGTTGTATCTGGACATGAGCAACACCGAAAAGGACATGAACGCTCTTATGTTGATCACTTGCGGTCTCCTAGCGGTGTCTAAGATTATTTGTTACCGCTTTCGTGCTCCAGGTCTTATCTTCAACTTCAACTCGGCTGTGAAAGATTACGCCAATCTGAACTCAGAGGAGTACCGAAAAATCATGCGACGACACGCGAGAATGGGCAGAGTAGCATGTGTTACCGTGATAACCTTTTCGTATTCCAGCTCGTTGCTCCTAGGTGTGCAAGCTGCAATAGCGGGCGATCCTGAAAGAGTGGAAGGAAACTTTACCATACCGCGCACTCGAGAATATCCAGTACCTTCGGATCGCCTTATAACTATCCTGGAAATACCAGACAGCCTGTACTTGCCAATTTTTGTTGTAGAATTTTATATGCTTATAATCACGTGCACTGGAAACCTTGGTAAAGCTTCGTTTTCTTAAGTTTTACGTACGAAGCGTGTTTCTTTATGTTCGCATCGTCTACAGGTAGCGATTCCTTGTTCTTTGCTATCAGTTTTCATCTGTGCGGTCAAGTAGAGATACTGAAAGCAGAGTTTACTAGACTAATCACCGAAAAGAAGAACTCGATGGAGGAGTTCTATACGTGCATCAAGAGACACATCTACTTGTTGGAACTAGGCGATATGCTGAACAATACCATCAGTTCGATTTTGCTCGTGCAAATATTTTCCAGTTCCGTACTTATTACCATAACCGGTGAGCATTTCTATATTTATTTTAATCTTATAACCATTTTATTACGTTCGTGTTAGAATATTTAAAAATTGTTCTGGATGCTCTTTTCGTGAAGATATTTATCGTATTCGTTTTAAGATTGTTGGAGGTGGTAGAGTTTCGTTATTAATACAACAGTTGTAGTTTTTTTTTCAATTTGCAGGATTTCAATTGATTTACGCTGTGGCTGTTAAGGATCTCACGATAGGAATGAAATCGATCGTTATAGTGTGTAATTTCTCACTGCAACTGTTCACGTACAGTTACGTGGGTGATTATATAAAATCTCAAATGGACGAGATCGGATTTTCTTTGTACAGTTGTAAGTGGGAAAATTTTCCAAAAGTCGTGGCGAAAGATCTTATGTTCGTCATAATGAGGGCTCAGCGCTCGTTTCATCTAGTGGCTGGTAAACACTTCATGGTCAACATAGAAACTTACGCGAGTATTTTAAAAGCCTCCATGTCGTATCTCTCGGTCCTTCGTGTAATGTTAATCACCTAACTCTATAGTGATACTTAGTAGTGATATTGTATAGTGATATGGCTTTCTACGTTATCGTATAGAAGAGCTCAATTCTTATATTAAAAGTCTTTATTTGATATATATTTTATTTTACATAAGGAATTCTTATGTAAACGTTGATTTAATAAAGCACAATGCATCCTTACTAATCAATTGTTATCATTTTTAATATTGCCGGAATGATCGTAAGTTGTGCAATAGATCTTTGATTTTTTTCAGTGTCTAAATCCTGATACTTGTGTAACGAATTCCTGTTGCATACTTTGTGGATTTAGAACTACCACATAATATTGCTGTAAAGATTTCAAAATAGGGCTTACTATCTGGACAAAAAACAGAAGATTCGAGTTATCTTGCAATCAGTGTTTGGATAAAGTAATAAACGAATACAGTAACTTCCCGAAAAGATCATCCGAAGGCCGACACAATGCATTTTTATCAAACAAGATAACAAACATTGAAATTTAAATTGCAGTTGCATGTCTACTTGCAAAGTATTCGAATGCCTACCTTCCAAATTCTTATCGAACAAAATTGTATACACTGTTTTCGCATTTTCAACACGATACTGTAGCCGAAGTGAATTATAAATCTCGAGAATGTGCATGTAGTAGAGAACGGTAGAAATTGGTAGAATATTCAAACTAAAATGTAGAGCTATAGGTAGAATATACATAGGTAGAACTATCAATTCTCAACAAAAACTGGAACGATTATAGTGTGAATATTTTCTGCAAAACATGTTTCACGTAGGAAGAACATGTTAGACTGAATTAGATACTTTGGAAGACGGTAGTTCAATAACAGTTGCAGAGAAAAGGGATACATTCAGCAATAATAATGCAGAAGCGGAATATATTGAAGAACGAAAGGGTGCTCGATGGTAGGCAGTTAACCGATTAAGGTTAAATAATATATGAGTCAAAAAGCGTAGCGTTACGACAGAAAGTGAGCAATAAGATCTGCAGGCATTTTCTGGATCTACGAGCATTTTGCAAAAATGAACACATCGAAGAACAAGGATCTTATTTATGCGATGAAACCGTACAAGATCCTGTCGTGGCCCATAGGCACTTGGCCTCTTCAGGCTTACAACGTATTCGCCTTTACGCGTTTCGTCTTTGCAGTAAGTGTGATGGTATGTAATTATTATATACATATAAGCGTCTTCGTTCTGATGGCGGTAGCGTGATAAATTCGAGTACTGATTTTAATTTTCATGTATGCAATTTTACAGTTATTAATGGAGCTGATCCTCAACTCGGAAATGTGTTTAAATCCGAGCAACGTCGAGGCAAATCTCGATGCTTTGATGTTCAGCCTTGTTGGCACTATGGTCCTATCTAAAGTGATGAGTTTTCGTGTTTACTCGACGAAACTGATTTTCAATTTTGTCTCGGCGGTGAAGGATTACAACGAACTTAACGATGAAAATAAGCGACTGATAATGCGTCGGCACGCTTACATGGGCAGAGTAATGTGCATTGCCTTGATAGGAGTCGGCAATATATGCGCTTGGGTCATCACAGCTGCACCTATACTGATAAACAACGATCATGAAATCAATGTCACCATCGAAGACGCGATAAATTTTCCTATGCCCTCCGAACACGTTATATTGCTAATTAAGTTTCCAGAATATCTATATTTGCTTATTTTTTTCGTTCAGTACTTGATGATGCTAATCATGGTTATGGGCAACCTTGGTAATGATCTGAACAGTAGAATAGTACAAGAAATTATTTGGAAGAAAGTAATCTTGCGACTGATCAGTTTTCTTCAACTTTGAACATCATCGATAGGTAGTGACTTATTGTTTTTCGGGATCGTCTTTCACCTGTGTGGTCAAGCGGAGATACTGAAAATGCAATTTACCGGATTGATCAATGATAGCGGTGAAACTACAGAAAATTTTCCTTCGTTGATCAAACGGCACGATTATTTACTGCAACTGAGTAAAATGTTAAACGACGTGATCAGTTTCGTCTTGGTCATACAACTGTTAGCCAGTTGTGTACTGATTTCTACGTGCGGTAAGCATTCAAAAATTCTTACATTCTTTATTTAGATCTTTATTAAAAACCTATGTTTCATCTGTATGCTGGTCTTTTAGGCTTTCAATTTATTCTCGCTTTGAATACCAGAAATGTCATGATAGTGGTAAAATCCATATTCATACTACTCACTATTTTGATACAGTTGTATTCGTATAGTTACGTGGGTAATTACTTGAAGTCGCAAATGGATAGTATCGGATATTCTTTGTATAGCTGCGGTTGGTACAGCCTTCCAACGAATGTTGCCAAGAATATTGTTCTGGTCACATTGAAAGCCCAAGTTCCGGTTCACTTAACTGCTGGGAAGTTCTTTGTAGTCAATTTGGAGACTTTCATGAGTATTTTAAAAACATCGATGTCGTATCTTTCGATTCTCCGCGTAATGATAAATACTTGACTGCTCTGTATAAATTTTTGCTCTTTCGGTTTGGAAATATTGCTATTCGAGAAAATACTTTATAGGTGATATAAGCAATTTACAGATTTATTTCAGCATAATAAAGAAAGTATCGAACGTTTGTATTTATATTTAAGCCCTTCATACTCTATAAAACGGTGTAACCTTAATAATTAATTGTTATAATTTGAAATTTTGCGGGAATGATCATAGTTGCGCAATAGATCCGTAGGTCTCTGCTCTTTTAGTTCACGAAGCATCTTATCGATGGCGTCGCGAGTCTGCCGGCTATTATGTTTTATTCACACAACAAAAACATTTGAAAAATGTATATAATTTTGTATCAAACGGTTTGTTTAAATACGTTTAGTATCTAAATCGTGATATTGGTGTAACGAAACTTAACAATGCGTTACCGAATCTTCTAAACCATTTATTTGTATGTTGGACAACATATAACATAACCTTAAAAAACAATTTAAATGTACTCATGTACATACTGGAGTATTCGTGGCAAGGAAGTATTCCAAAATGGCACAACGATTGAGCAATAAAGCAAAATTAAAGTCGCTTTTACAAGTGACTACTACTGCTACTACCTTATACGCTGGGTATTGCATTTATCAGGGTAATGAAAAGTTCTATAATAAGTTTGTTATTCCTGTTGCACAATTTGTGGATCCAGAGCTAGCCCATAATATTGCTGTAAAGATTTTAAAATGGGGTCTATTGTCTGGACAAAGAACGGAAGATCCAGGCTCCCTCGCGATCAATGTTTGGAATCTGGATTTTAAACATCCGATAGGTATGGCAGCTGGTTTTGATAAACAAGGGGAAGCCGTGGCAAGCTTGCATAAAATAGGATTCAGCTTTGTGGAGATAGGTATATACATTTATAAATAAAGTGACTAATGATCAAAATAAGATAACATTGTCTTACATGAAATTTCATTTGCAGGATCAATTACTCCAAAACCACAACCTGGTAATCCTAAACCAAGGGTATTTCGACTACTGGAAGATAATGCAGTTGTTAATCGTTATGGTTTCAACAGTGAAGGACATGATTCGGTATTGGAACGTCTGCGAACACTCAAGGATGACAAAACGTTTAAAGGGATTGTTGGGATCAATTTGGGCAAAAATAAAACGTCCGAAGATGCTGTACAAGATTATGCAGATGGGATTAAGAAGTTCTCGAATGTGGCTGATTATTTTGTAATTAATGTATCTAGTCCTAACACTCCTGGATTAAGATCTCTACAAAGCAAACAGGATCTGGAACATTTGCTCACAAAAGTAAACGAAGTTAGACAATCGATACACAGTACTCAACCATTACTGCTTAAACTTGCTCCAGATTTATCTGATTCCGAAAGGGCAGATATCGCGAGCGTAATATTAAAAAAGAAGTCGAAAGTAGACGGTCTAATATTATGCAATACAACGATAACGCGAGAGAATTTAGTAAGTCCTCTTAAAGAAGAAAGTGGTGGGCTGAGTGGAGCTCCCCTTGCTAACATGTCAACAGCCATGATTTCTGACATGTACAAACGAACGCGAGGCACGATTCCAATCATCGGAGTCGGTGGAATCTTCAGCGGAGAAGACGCTTACAACAAAATCAAAGCTGGCGCTTCCTTGGTGCAAGTTTATACGTCCTTCACGTATCTTGGACCACCGATAATAGGAAAAATTAAACGAGAATTAGATGACATGCTCAAACGAGATGGCCTAACATCCATCAGAGATGCGATCGGGAAAGATACCGGCATCAAATGAACTATTTAAACGATTCAACAATTTTTACTGTTAAACAGTGATGTAATGTACAAATTAAATTGTTATACTCTGTTTTTATTATGAAATATTACGTCGTTGGAAGATTGTTATGTATAGATGAAATGCATAGTATCGATAATAAAATAATTCGATATTCATTATATCTTCTCTTTCTATATTTGATCAAAATCGGTGGCCTTCGTGCAAGGTTTACTTCGAGTGAATCGATCACGCAATTTTTGTTTTAGTTCGTGTATTTTTTTGTACATACCTCGTGAGAATTATTAGCACAACTATCCAAAAGCATTAAAACATATTTGTGGTACCTGATATTTTACAATTAATGTAATTTCCCCACGACTCACAGTCGTGTCGTACACGTATATTCTATGATTAATACTCGCTGGTGATGTCTTCTATGCACGACGTCCTTACGAGTAAACGATATAGTGGTACTTGCACGGAGTACTTTTTTCTTTACCCCCAAAAGTACATACATACTTTGATACGGCTCCGATTACTCCTTTACGCAATTCTATTTCGCACAGATCACTTCTTAAAAATCAGTATTTGGTACCATCGCTTGTATGTACGTTGTCCCTTATGTTTTCTATACACTTACAATTAACATAAATAAACATTTCGTGTGGTTCTAAATTAACACCTTACTTAATAATCATTTCGATGTCGCCAATTATTAACCCACACTCAATAAGTCTCCGAACGTTAACGATTCAACTAATCTATAACTCGTTTTAATCTCTATCTATTTCACTTGCAAACTATGGGTAAGGTGTTAACGGTATCTACGAAAGTACAATTGGTAAGCTGAAAGCAACGGAAGATCATGAGAGAATAGATCGTTGTCAGGTCCATACACAGTCCTTATTAGAGTTACGTTTTCAGGTACACAAGCACGTTGGAAAGGATTTCAACGTTAAAAATGCGTTAATGTAAACCAATATTTCCCCCCAAGCCCTGTTCTTTCCTCCACTGGGCTAACCGGATTGCGTACCATGCCTGAAACATGTAAATGTATCGTGTAAAATATCAGCGTTTGTTATATGATTTAAATATGAAATATTTGTTGTCAAAGAGAAAAACCTCAACGTCGGCTTCGGAGAGTCCTGTCTCGGCTGCCAATAGAACGATATCCGCTGTGTGAGGTGCTCTTGGCCATCTGTTAAACTGTTCTTGAAGAACAGCTTCCTGATCAGCCGTCAAACGAATCACTCGAATATCGTCTGCCCTGCTGGGATACTGCGGTGAAGCTGACCTCAACATTCTGCCTGTAAGAAATTTAACAAATTTTATTTCGCTGTGTGCACTTTCGCTTTTCGAGGCACACCCTCGGATCTTCCTTGAACTCTCCGCAAATTTAGGTATTTCTTAAGCTTTAGAGTCTCTTTGGGTTTCCGATGTTCTTTGATTAAGTCGAAGGAAGCAAGCAATAAGAGATTAAAATGGAATACGTTAGAGGAGGGAGCAAGTCCAAGTGCACTGCTTTGCAGTGAAGAAAAACCGTGACAATTATCGCGACAAAAGGCACGTGAATCAGCGCCACGCGTCACGAATATGTGTCTCGAATATTTCCTTTTACGGAGAACAAACGTGCTCTGATCTACGCTAAAGGCGCGAGAAACGAGTGCCCGATAAATTGACGTTCGTTACGTAAGCGCATCTCGCATTATCACTTGGTTCGCAAGATAAATTACGGAGGCGTAAAAATCGTAATAGTTACACAATAAACGAACACAATAACTGCCCGAAAAGATCACCCGAAGGCCGACATAATGCATGATCCATCTGCATTTTTATCAAGCATAACAACGAACATTGAAATTTAAATTGCAGTTGCACGTCTTACTTGCAAAATATAATGTCTACGTTTCAAATGCTTATCGAATAAAATTGCATACACTGTTTTCGCATTTTCAACACGATACTGTAGCCGAACTGAATTATAAGCCTCGAGAATGTGCATGCAGTAGAGAACGGTATAAATTGGTAGAATATTCGAACTAGAATGTAGAGCTATAGGTAGAATATACATAGGTAGAACTATCAATTTTCAACAAAAACTGGAACGATTATAGTGTGAATATTTTCTGCAAAACATGTTTCACATAGGAAGAACATGTTAGACTGAATTAGGTACTTTGAAAGACGGTAGTTCAATAACAGTTGCAGAGAAAAGGGATACATTCAGCAATAATAATGCACATGCGGAATATATTGAAGAATAATAATGCAGAAGCGGAATATATTGAAGAACGAAAGGGTGCTCGATGGTAGGCAGTTAACCGATTAAGGTTAAATAATATATGAGTCAAAAAGCATAGCGTTACGATAGAAAGTGAGCAATAAGATCTGCAGGCATTTTCTGGATCTACGAGCATTTTGCAAAAATGAACACATCGAAGAACAAGGATCTTATTTATGCGATGAAACCGTTCAAGATCCTGTCGTGGCCCTTAGGCACTTGGCCTCTTCAGACTTACAACCTATTCGCTCTTACGCGTTTCGTCTTCGCAATAAGTGTGATGGTATGCAATTATTACGTATTACGACTTATACATATTAACGACGAATTCAACTTCTGTTGATTTTAATTTTCATCTATTTGCAAGTGAAATTACGCTGATTGCGTATTACATGAAATTTATGTGATTTTGCAGTTAGTGGTGCAGGTGATCCTCAATTCGGAAATGTGTTTAAATCCGACCGACGTCGAGGCGAATCTCGATGCATTGATGTTCAGCGTCGTTGGTACTTTGGCGCTATCAAAAGTGTTGAGTTTTCGTTTTTACTCGACGAAACTGATTTTCAATTTCGTCTCGGCAGTGAAGGATTACAACGAGCTTGACGAAGAAAATAAGCGAATGATAATGCGTCGGCACGCTTACATGAGCAGGGTAATGTGCGTTGCCTTGATAGGAATCGGCAACGTGTGCGCTTGGATCCTCACCGCTTTACCGATATTGTTAAAGGGCGATCAGGAAATCAATGTTACCGTTGAAGACACGATAACTTTTCCTCTACCCTCCAAAACGGTTATATTGCTATTGAATTTGCCAGAAAATCTGTATTTGCTTATTTTTTTCGTTCAGTACTTGATGATGGTGATCATGGTTACGGGCAACCTTGGTAATGACTTGAACAGTAGAGTAGCAAAAGAAATTACTGTGAAGAAAGTAATCTTGCGATTGACCAGTTTCCTTCAACTTTGAACACTATCGATAGGTAGTGACTTAGTGTTTTTCGGGATCGTCTTTCACCTGTGTGGTCAAGCGGAGATACTGAAAATGCAATTTACCAGATTGATCAATGATAGCGGTGAAACTACAGAAAATTTTCCTTCGTTGATCAAACGGCACGATTATTTACTGCAACTGAGTAAAATGTTAAACGACGTGATCAGTTTCGTCTTGGTCATACAACTGTTAGCCAGTTGTGTACTGATTTCTACGTGCGGTAAGCATTCAAAAATTCTTACATTCTTTATTTAGATCTTTATTAAAAACCTATGTTTCATCTGTATGCTGGTCTTTTAGGCTTTCAATTTATTCTCGCTTTGAATACTAGGAACATCATAATAGTACTAAAAACGTTATTTATACTGCTCACTGTGTTGATACAGTTGTACTCGTATAGTTACATGGGTGATTACTTGAAGTCGCAAATGGATGGTATCGGATATTCTTTGTACAGCTGCAGTTGGTACAGCCTCCCTGCAAATGTGGCCAAGAACATTGTTCTGGTTATATTGAGAGCCCAAATTCCGGTTCACTTAACTGCTGGGAAATTCTTTGTAGTCAATTTGGAGACTTTCATGAGTATTTTAAAAACATCGATGTCGTATCTTTCGATTCTCCGCGTAATGATAACTACGTGACTATACTTTATAAATTTTCGCTCGTCCAGTTTAGAAATATCGCTATTCAAGAAAATACTTGATAAGTGATATAGAAATTTAGGGAATTAATTCAGCATAATAAAGAAACTGTTGGATACTGCCTAAGAATAAGTGTGCATTTCTTTTAACCCCTTTTCGAATTATAACATGTTAAGCTAATTATTTAGCGTGTATCGATACAATTCTTTAGAAACGTATGTGCTTAATTATCTTGACAAGGTTCTAACTTACACTTACTTGGTAGAACAATACTTAAACAAAACAATGATGTCAAGAACATGTTGATCACACAAGTTTTTGCTTCTATTTTGATAAAAACGTATATTCTTATCTGAAAAGTATGTCGCTTCAATAAAGAAATAACAGAATACCTGATAGTAAGATTCAAGTTTCAGAAATAAGAAAAGTATATAAGAAGATAACAGATAAGAGGCACAATGTGGCAAACATTATATTATTATAAATGCAACTCGAATACGTTCGTAAAATGGACACGAAAGTATTTTTCTACCCCGCTCCGTAGAAATATTCGTTGGATCGAACTACTTTGAAAGATAACGTATGCTAGCAATAACAGTAAAAGGGAGGTTAACCCTTTATCGTGGACAAATGTAACAATAACGCAAGAACAGGTTTCTTGAACTTTGTGGTAAAACGCAGCTGACGTAAGAACGAAAGGATGCTCGATGACAGGTAATCGAGCAATTGCAAATGAATAAAATATCAGCTCGAAACGTAACATGCCGCGATAGGAAGGGAATAATATCAGCAGACAATCTTTCATCGAGAACTTTACAAGATGAAAAACAAGGACCTTGCTTACGCGATGACCCCACTGAAAATCCTGTCGTGGCCTATTGGCACTTGGCCTCTTCAAGAATACAACGCATTTTCCTTCGCACGCTTCGGCTTCACGACTTCCGTTCTGGTACGTACTTGTACATTTATCGAGTTACTTTACGCACAATATGCTCTCCTTATATTGTCACGTTGACGTAAGGGTTGAAGAGAAAACCTTTTTGGTTAAAAAGTTGTTTCCTTTGAGGCTGTCCCTGTGAATCCCTAAAATCCACGAATAGTACGTGTACAATTTCGTATCCCCCATTAATTTGTTCGTTGAATTTATTTTTTATTTAAACGTCGTCCAATTTCATCAGTTTGAATATTTTTCGTTTCTACAGTTTTTATCGCTGCTCGTAACAAACGCGGAATTCGTGTGTACGCGCGGTAGCGACCCGGATAAGGACATGTATGCCGTGATGTTACTTGTTTGTAACATCTTGGCACTCTCGAAAATAACGTATTTTCGTGTTCATTCAGCGAAACTGATCTTCAACTTCGTCTCGGCCGTAAAGGATTACAACGAGCTCGACAATGAAAAGAAACGAGCGATCATGCGACAGCACGCTCGCATGAGCAGACTAACGTTCGTTGGTCTGATGTCCTCCGCTACCGTCTGCTCGGCATTTCTTACTTTTCTGCCAGTGTTAAAGCGAAACGAAAACTCGATCAATATGACGTTTTCGGAGTTATTAAAATACCCAATACCTTCCGAACAAGTTATAACGTCGTTAGAATTACCCGAATATCTGTACCTGCTAATTTTCACTATGGAATTCATGACGTTGCCGCTTATCAGCGCGGGCAATCTCGGTAATGAATTGACTCGTAAACTAACGAAACGGATCAACAAAATTTTCTTCAACTTTCTTCAAACATAGGCAGCGACATATTATTCTTTGGTATCGTCTTTCATGTGTGCGGTCAAGCAGAGATACTGAAAATGGAGTATAACCAAGTGACCGATGGAAGCACCGAGAAATTTCATGCGTTGATCAAACGGCATGGTTATTTGTTGAAATTGACCGAGATGTTGAACGACGCGGTCAGTTCTGTTTTGGCCATACAATTGTTATCCAGTTGCATACTCATCTGCGCGTGTGGTAAGAATTTTCAAATCCTCGCGAACACGTTACTCCAATTAATTCGTTAATTCATTTTTCAGATATGCAGTTTCTCCTTATTCAGCAGGACGGGAATATCGCGAGTGTGGCGAGAACGGCCATCACGATGATCATCTTAATGATACAATTATTCGCGTACAGTTACGTGGGTAATTATTTGAAGTGCCAAATGGCTGGCGTTGGATACTCTTTGTATAGCTGCACTTGGTACAACTTTTCCACAAATGTGGCAAAGGAGATTATTTTCGTCATACTGAGAGCTCAGAAACCAGCCCACTTGGTGGCTGGAAAATTCACCGTTGTCAATCTGGAAACCTTCACGAGTATTTTAAAAACTTCGATGTCGTGCCTATCGGTCGCTCGCGTAATGATGAGTAGATGAATTCCCGATATTAATTATTCTGTTAGTTTCGGTTGTAGGAGGTACACGAGTAAAATGGCTAGCAGGTAACATAGAAACTTGCGGAATTATGTAAGAATAATAAACACTCGAGTTTTATTTTGTAAAATAAACAACACTGGCGGGTCGACACGATGTTCGTGAATTTTTCGTCCATCCACAACGGTTTCGTTTGCAACTGCGAAATTCGCGTCCTCGGGAATGGCAACGGAAATAGCGCGACATTGACCCGATAGCATGGTCTCCGCGCATTTGGATACATTTCAAAATTCCGTTCCGCGAAAATAAGATTTTTCGACGGCAATAAAGTGACAAAAGATTATTGTATCGTGTTTTCTTACTTGGTTCGGTAAATCTCACTCTCTTCGTGGTCTCACGGCTCGGATAGGTGGTACGTCTTTCGCACAAATAACACTTTCGTTCGTAAAAGTGTGAAAACGATCTTAGTCCACTCATTTTTGTAAACGGATATCGTTCCAGCCGACGAAGAATCGATGGATGAACGCGTGCACGAGGTTCGAACGAGACTGATTACCTCCTGCTTTAGTAGCGATCAGTTTTAGCCACGCAATAATGTCAAAATGTAAATCGATGCATATACGTGGGAAGAAGATCGACCTTGATACGACGTACGGGTTTAACGCGAATTCCCCCAATGAGTTTCATGCCAAAAAGGTTAATTATATTGGCGTGCTTCCGCTTTCGAGTCATCTAATCGATTAAGCCAGAAAATATTTGGCTAGGCTCCTGCCACTCGTAATCGATAAAGCATTCTTTTATTTAAATCGCCCCATGCTCCGCGTTACGCAAAATGTAATTGCTCGCGATGTCTAATGAATAAACATCAAAGTACGTGCTCTTAGATACACAATATAGTATACTTACATTCTAACAATGTCCTTTCTTCGCGGAAGGAAAGTATCGTTTCTTTACACGACTATGAATCGAATGCTATCTAGAGAGCACGTTTGAAAACTAACTTTCAATAAAAATAACAAAACAAAAAGTAACAAATGATGCAGTTGTTTCAAGAATTTGCAATTGGACGTATTATCTTTGAAATTATCGTTGTTATATCCAACTGATGGAGAAACGAAAGGATACAATGACCGGTTGTTACGCGATTACGGCTAAATAAGATATAAGTTCGAAGAACTTACAATTAGTGCCGCAACAGAAAGAGCAGATCGGTTCCCGAGCTGCTCAGACATTTTGCGAGAATGGAGGTATCGGAGAACAAGGACTTTGACTACGCGATGAAACCGTTGAGAATTCTATCGTGGTGTATGGGCATTTGGCCTCTTCAAGTGTACAACGTGTTCTCGTTTACACGTTTTATATTTGTTATCGGAATTTTGGTATGAAATTTGTACTATTTTATTTATAAGAAATAGAAATTACTCGAAAAGAATTAAGAAAAATTGCGATAACACGCTGCTGTGATTTTGCAGTTATTGATGATTCTGATTCTAAACGTAGAAGTGTATTTAGACGCGAGCAATGCCGAAGCGAATTTGGATATTTTATTGTTGACCTCTTGCGGTATCTTAGCGATATGGAAAGTGGCATGTTTTCGAATTTATTCGACGGCACTGATTTTCAATTTAGTCTCCGCTTTGAAAGACTACAACGAACTTGACGACAATGGAAAACGAACGATCATGCGACGACATGGTTACCTTGCCAGAGTAACGTTTGTGGGTCTAATGTTTAGCTCCAATTTCGGCTCGATGATCATTACTATTTTACCTGTATTTTTAAAAAACGAGGAAGAAGTTAACGTGACCGTGGAAGATGCGATAAATTATCCCATTCCTTCTGCGCACGTTATAGAAATGTTAAAATTGCCAGGAAGTTTAATAGTGATAATATTCGTGATGGAATTCTTGATGTTGGTGTCCACTAGTGCGGGAAATCTTGGTAATGAATAACTTTGCAAAATAATAAAAGATTTTGTAAAGTGTTTAAAGAAATGATATGCGATAGGTAGCGATGCATTTTTCTTTGGTATCGTTTTCCACCTGTGCGGCCAAGTGGAGGTACTGAAGGTACAGTTTAGCTGACTAGTGGATGAAAATGGTAAATCGACGGAGGACCTGCACTCGTTAATCAAAAGACACGGTTACTTGTTGAAACTGAGTAAGATGTTGAACGACACGATCAGCTCGGTCTTGGCTATACAACTATTGACAAGCTGTATACTTATTTGTACATGCGGTAAATATTCCTTTTTAACTCTCGTACTTTATATCGTACGCGAAGGCACATCTTAAACGTCGTAAGCGTATAAATCCGACTATTTCTGTCGTTTCAATCAACGCGTTAACATTGCAATTATTTCCTTGGCTAATTGCGCGTTATCTCTTTTTAGGATTCCAGTTTATTCTCGCACTAGAAGTCCGGAACGTGATGATGGTCGTGAAAACGATCGCTGTACTAAACGCGTTGATGGTACAGCTGTTCGCGTACAGTTACGTGGGTGATTACTTGAAGTGCCAAATGAATGATATTGGATACTCCATATACGACTGTAGCTGGTACAAACTTCCGGCGAACGTGGCAAAGGACATTATTATTACCATACTGAAGACCCACGAACCGGTTCATCTAATGGCTGGAAAGTTCTTTGTCGTCAATTTGGAAAATTTCATGAGTATTCTGAAGACGTCGATATCCTATCTCTCTGTTCTTCGCGTAATGATTAGCACATGATTCTTCTGTAGTAGTCGTCTAGTACTGGTTCTAAGAGTAATTTAACGAATAAAGGTGTTTAGCAAGTAATAGATAACTTTTGTAAAACGTGCTCTATTACAACTTCGAAATTATAAACGGTACTTGGAAGAATGTTGATCTTCACACGAGTTGAACGAAACTTTCGTCGATGAGCTCCTTGCCAAAGAGGTTAATTATATTGGTACACTTCCGCTTTTGAATCATCCAATCGATTAAGCCTAAAGATACTTGGCTATGTTCCTACCGCGTACAATAAGCCATCAGTACACTAACATCGCACGGAACTCTGCTTACAATATGAATAATATGTTTTTTTCTTGCGGTAAAAATATCAACATTGAAAATAAGAGAGTGCTTCCTTCAGCTCAGATACGTGTAAAGATATTCGAACTTTTACTTATATTCTACCTAGCAATACTAGGTACAAGACATTCCTTTTTCGTAGAAGGAAAATATTTTTTTCTCAGACAATTGGAATAACTCAAATGTTCCTTAAGAAAACGCACCTGTAGTTTTTTCTGTAGCACTTTACGAAAGCGACGATCGTTAATTCAAGCTACTTTCAACCAGTTCGGTGAAAGTAGCCAACAGATGGACGACTTTGTTATTTACAGCACAATGCAGCAATGATACAACAATTTCACGAATTCGCAACTCAACCCCTATTTCTAGAATTTCCTCGATAGCGCACGGATGTTATAGATACATAGGGGTGCTCGATGATAGGGGCTGTTAGGCGATTACGAATGAATAAAAGATGAGTCGAGTAACACGACGGCATGACGAAAAGAAGAAATATGAACAACAGTCTGTTCCTCGATTTATTCGAACATATTGCAAGAATGAAGACGTCGAATAGCAAAGATATTGCTTACGCGATGACGCCGTTGAAAATTCTGTCCTGGTGTACGGGGGTTTGGCCTCTCCAAATTTACAACGCGTTCGCGTTTATACGATACATCTTTTCTATCGGCATGTTGGTATGAAATTCTTGTTTATACGATTAACCCTTTCATTGTGGCGGTCGCTTAATCGCTTTGTTAATAGAAAAAGTAGCACAAAGTAGTAGATAAAACGAACAGCCATTGTCAAAACGTAATACGATTCAATTCACGAATGTCATCGTACATCAGTGCACCGACGTTTAATTTCCATTTCTTTCCACAACGGAAGGGTTAATAAGCGCTTACAATTGAACAGTTTGTCATCCGAAACATTGTTATGACCTCGCAGTTATTAATGATCGCAATCCTGAACGCGGAAGTCTATTTCGATAGAAGCAACGCCGAGGCGAATCTGGATGTTTTCATGATTACCGTGTGCGGTATTTTAGCGGTGTCGAAAGTGACATGTTTTCGAGTTTACTCGTCCAAGTTAATTTTGAATTTTTCCTCGGCCGTGAAAGATTACAGCGAGCTCAACGACGAAGAGAAACGAACGATCATGCGACGACACGCTTACATGAGCAGAATAGCGTGCGCCAGTCTGATAGGTGTCTCAAATTTCTGTGCGGTGATCTTCACTCTTTTGCCTGTACTGTTAAAAAACAACGCGGAGAATAACGCGACCGAGAAAGTGAAGTACCCTTTTCCTTCTACGCACGTTGTAGCAAGGCTAAAGTTGCCAGACAGTCTGAACGCGATAATTTTCTTCACGGAATATTTAATGTTGATGATAACCAGTGTTGGAAATATTGGTAATGGACTCGTAAAATATCGAAAGAAATTGCAAATACATTCGATAGTTTTCAACAGTTTTAAACATCGTCGATAGGCAGCGATGGGTTTTTCTCTGGTATCGTCTTTCATCTGTGCGGTCAAGCGGAGATACTGAAAATGCAGTTTAGCAGAGTGGTCGATGAAGGTAGAAGAACTGCGGAGAATATTCACTCGCTAATCAAAAGGCACGAGTATCTATTGGAACTAAGCGGGATGCTGAACGAAACGATCAGTTCGGTCTTGGTCATGCAACTATTAGCTAGTTGTATACTTATTGCTACATGCGGTGAATACATCATTAATCTAATTGTTAACGCGTTCTCTTGATAACTAGCAAGTGATTAATGATTAGCTTTCTTCCTACATTCTCCTCAAGTGTTAATTAACGTGTCGAAACTGCAATTACTTTTTTAACTAATTGTATGCTATTTTTTTAGGATTCCAGTTCATTTTAGCTCTTCACGAAGCAAATATTGTGATGGTGATAAAAACGTTCTTCATACTGAGCACTTGGATGATACAACTATTCGCGTACAGCTACGTGGGTAATTACTTGAGGTACCAAATGGACGACATTGGAAACTCCGTGTACAAATGCGATTGGTACAGACTTCCAACAAACACGTCGAAAGGCATTATTTTTGTGATACTGAAAGCTCGTCAACCGGTTCATCTAATGGCTGGGAAGTTCTTTGCCGTCAACCTGGAGAGTTTCATGAGCATTGTAAAGACCTCGATATCGTATCTCTCTGTACTGCGCGTAATGATAAACGTGTAATAACCTTCTCTGCCATAAGAATAAATTTATACTTAGCTTTAAAGCAATTTAAAGAGAGATTATGTAAAGTTAATAAAGTAAGCGTTGAACCTTGGCACGTAACGAATAGCAAAACAGCTGCTAACCATTTCGCTACAATGGAATTGTCACGATTGAACGAAAACACTTCCTCGTTTAATAGCTAGAGCCGCAACCGTGACATTTCTATAACGCGCTTTCGTTGTTATTGCGGTTCGCGTGGGCGGCACATTGGCAGCGCCTTGAGCAACCTTTATGGAGCAACATCGCGGACTATTAAACTTGACCTACAGACGGGATCGCATACCAAGTATGTAGTCACGGACGTGTCGATCGAGGACGACTATCGATTGGAAGTTTGCTCTCAAACGTTCAAAAACGTTTCGTGAATCGTAACGCGACGAAATTGCCAATTCACCTCGTTCTGCGATCATCTATTTTATTGTTACAGAGACCTGCTCGCTTCTTTAGAGGTTATTGTACAGAGGACTGGTTTCAATATCCGCGTACAATTCGCGCAACTTCTCCGGCGTGACGTACACGGGAATGTCTTCCTCGGAGAATCGTAAGAAGTCCAGCAAACTCTCTTCGAGCTCTTGCTGATACACGGAACCCGCGTACTTCGATTCGATGTAACGACGATCGCTGTCGGACATCTACAAATTTCATGGCGTTCGTTAAATTTTCAACACCCGCAACGAGTTCCATCGTCACTCACCGCATTCCACTTTGATCTTATCAGACCTCGTATGCAATCGTCGGTTAAAGACTGACCAGGAATCGCCTGTGTTAACAAATACGTAGGTAAGTGTTTAGATATAAAATAGGATTTTCTTTTCTTTACCATTTTCGACAGTAAAGTAGCGCGGTTCTCCACTCGTAAACACTCGAATCTGTCGTAGAAGATCGCCATTGCCCACGGTTCGCGGAAATACGCGTACAAATCAGCGATCAGTGAACTCTGACACGATCGAAGGTTCATTTTATCATCGTAACAATCACGAAAAAGGAAAAAGCTTACTTTGAATCGCGTTTTTAAATCGTTCAGCATACTTTCGTGTTTCCCGTACAACGTGATCATGTGATCCAACTCGAAATCCTGAAACGTTAGACAACTTGTACACGCAAAATGACTAACGAATCGAATCATTGTTTCTAACGCATCCAGAATGTAAGAAATTGTCGTTAGAAAAAAATGGAGGAAACGTTGGAATGTACGTTTTTACTGAAACAAGTGATGGTCTCCACCGAGTCATGACGGTTCAATCGTATCCGGAAGTAGCCGATGTCCGACGTGCAGGAGCCTGTCATCAAGACTTCGCCCTAAATCGTACGAAAGAGATTTTCAACGCGTGAAATGCAGCAATGCCGCAACGGGAACTCACGTAGAAGTCGAAACGAATCGCGATGCTACGCAGAATCGTTTTTCCAGGCTTGCGAACGTGCAGGTAACGATAACCACCGGGCAAATTGCAAGCCACGATATGAGGTAAACGGAACACGGGTAGCGTCAAGAATGTCTTGTCCTTTGTCGGGTTATTAGCTACTTCGTTGTGGCGATGCTGATTATAGATGATCGATCGAAGAACGGTCGCCAGCTTCGAAAGATGTTGCATTCAAAGTTTGTAAATTTTGAAAAAAATTGATACTAACTCTCTCGCCGATTTCGATGCTGCTGTAATACTTGTGTTGCCGGGACTCGGCGTAGAATTTTCTACGGTATTTGGTTATGGTTCCAGCGGCGAAGATCGATGGATCGTTGGTCTTGAATTCCGGATCTATGACCAACTGGCCGTCGAATACCAATCCAGCTCTGCATATCGCTGAAACGCATCGGTTGCTATCGCGGATCGTCGGAGAGCAGGGTATAGTTAAAGAAAACGGTATATCTCGGTTAGAAGTTGAGACCTACGTTGTATATACTATATCGCTTTCTTTAACTGTACAGGATCTCTTGAAAATAAAAATCAAAATTATTGATCACCCAAAAATATCTTCATATTGATGGTCTTCTCCTTGAAATTCACGAAAGCGTCGCAATCTATCGTTTTTGTCTTGCCTCTCGAGTGCAGTACGATCGCTTCTATCGTTTGCTCTTCCTCCAAATCCTTCACACGCCAATCGATCACTTCCCATCCTACGAGCACCTTAACGCCGCTTCTCACGATAGAGTTCATAGTTTCTTTGTAAACCTTCAAAGATAACATCCTTTTTGAGCTTTACACATACAACGATTTTCTTCCGCGATCGTTACTTCGCAATCGTTGAAGAAGATGGTTTCGTTGGTTTCGCAGGGTTGCAACGGGGGACGGATCAACGTGATCCAGGAACCGTTCACGCCAAATTCGAGCAAACCCTGAAGCGCGCAATAGCAGTCTATGTTGTGTCCGTAAAGGATAATATTCTCTAAAACCAAGTAGCGTGGTTCGATTTCGAATGTTCAGATTATACTCTACAGGAACTAACTTTCATCCTCAAAATTGTTTGTCAACGACTGAATCTTTTCTAAACATTCGATCGCCTGCGTGTCGTCGTTGATCGTCAGACAATTCCAAGGCGTTTTGAGCTCCACTAGTTCCCTGGTTAAGCGAGAACTTTCAGTACCGACTCTTTCGTTTCATGTTTAAAAATTTACCCTCTCTTTTGTGCCTGCAATTCTTCCTGAAATCGAGGCTTGTAATACTGCAGTCCGCATGTTAGGATCAAGTAGTCGTACGAGATGTTCCCTTCGTTAACAACCGACACAGTCTTCTGCTTTCTGTCGATTACACAAATACGTTCAACTTAACTTTCATTTTCTACTAATCGCTACTGTACCTGTCAATCGTCAACGCAGTGCCGTATACTACGTTAATGAAAGTTCGTATTGGAACCGTTCGTCGATACTCTCGGCAGAAACGACCATAGAACGGCGTCATACGTTCGATCGTGATGTTTCGTTCGGTGTCGAAAGGTAACCCGTTCGTCGATATCAGCGTGAGACTGGCGAATCGCGAGTAACTCTGGCTGGCACTGAGAAATGGACAGTTAACTCCGATCCCACATTGATTTGTGCTTCTGTTCTAGATTTACCCGAAGACCAGTTGTTCCAGGAACGCGACGCCACAGTCCGACGCGCCCACCACGACGATCCTCGTGTCGATGATAGCGGTCATGGTTCCAGCAAGGCGCGGAGTGGTCATGAACAACGAAAACGATTCCGTTGCATCTTCGGGTTCGTCGGTTTCTATGTAGCCACGAAACTTGTAGTCGATTCTGCGTCGAGGACACACGGTGTACATGCCGTGCAAGCAAATGGCCAACGGTTGCGAACGAGTCTAAAATGGTAGGCGTAATTATCGGAATTGCATCGTTGCGCAGGGAAAGCTATACGGAGCGAGTAAAAGTTTGTACCAGTGCGCTTAACGAGCTTTCCGTTAACCGATAGTACAAAACGATGGTGTCGGTCAGACGCATGATTTCGCGGAAGAAACTTTGCAGATGAATGGCGAAGATTGGCATTAGAACAAAGTGCAGGATACGACAGTACGCGTCGTATGGTACATTCTTCACCGCGATGTAATCTTCTACGTGGTAACGTCTTCGAATATATGTGGTGTCCTTCTCGGCACTGACATCATACATTTCGCACGTTAAACAAGAACCTGGACCGTGTTAACTTTTCTAGTCCTTACCAAAGAATCGTCAAACCAATGATCGCGTCGTTCCATTGGAAAACGTAACAGCGTAAATCCGTTTGTTTTTCGTCTACCGCGGCTTGAAAATCGACCATTATCTTTTCAGACTTTGGAATCCCTTGCAAAAGGTCCCGCAGTTTGTCTTTGTCGGAAGATACAGCCGCGCGACATGAAATGCGCCCAAGAACAGCAGCACGATGCGTCAGGTACAGAGTCATCGGATAATCCATGTAACACCTCAATGGGACGCGCTAAACGATTACGATGGTGCATTAAATTTGTCGAATAATGAACGATCTAAGTGACGAGAGAAAAATTTGCTGTACCACGAAGTGTTCGAGAAAGGGAAGAAAAGAATGCGAGAACGGAAGAAGGATACAGCAGTAATCCAGATGAGGGAAGCATTCGAAGGCAGCTTGGATAAAATTCTGTGACCAACGATCGCTTATGTCGTGATGCAGCGTGAAAATCTCCAAAACGAACGCGTTCGGTTCACCGTAGTAAATAGGTCTGATAGGAAGCTTGATGTCCTTCGAATCCTGGCTATCTTCATCGTCGATCGTCGAAAAGATAGTTCTCCCTTAATTGATCGAAGGATATTAAGCACTGTTCCAACTTTTCTTATCAACGATTTCTCTTTCACTCACGTGGAAGTTCGTACAACGAATCCGCGAATATGCTGGCCAACGTTTTCGAATGGTAAGGCGTGTGGAAGAATTCGGTGAGAGACGGCAAATCGCTGGCGACACTCAAGTCGGAAAAGTCTATGGGTTTTCCGACAAACTTCGGTTTCACTATCTGACGATCGCTGGAACTCAAGGAGGTGATGCTTTCGAAACCCATACTTTGCATCGAAGACTGTTTCCTCGGAAACCTGCCAATGATTTTATATCGATGGATAAGATCCGGTGTCAAAAATCAATTGTGATGATTACCGAACGGATAATAGAGAGAGTAAATAACAAAGATACGGTCTAACCCAGCTATTTCGTCGCACGGTTTTCTTGAAAATATGGAGCAGAAAATTTCACTGGACGGTTCTATGCTGTCCAGGAAAAGTTGATCTTTCTCGTGAGGTTTCCTGAGACCGTTGTAGGGGGCCAGCTCGAAATGTTCGTCGAGTATATCGACGTTTATCGTGCTGTTCAGGAACATCACGCCCGTAGCCAAGCCTTCGCTATCCTCGGAGACGATCAATCGACGTCGACTGTTCGGATGACGTACCATCTCACTGACGTAATATTCTCCGTAATATTCTTTCAGCAATTTCGTTTCGGCATCGATGATCGGTATCACGTCGTCGTTATCTTCTTCCCTGTTTCATAGATATTTTTCCTTACGATTAATTATCTCTATCGATCGTGTGGTCGATCGTCTATTTTTAGTGTCGCGTGTTCGTATCGCTTGCAGAAGGTGTGGATACGTTTCAAGTATTCCTCTCTCGTTTCTATCTAGACTTGCGGACTCTACATCTGTCATTTCTTGATTAGAATACCAAGTTAACGACGTTGAACAAATACTCTTTAAACGATGCAATCACTGAACAGATGCTTAGTCATTAACAGCAAACATGAATTATTGATACCTCTGATAAATTGGTACGATAGTCTTTCGGTACAAAGGCACCACTCAATGAGCATCGAGATAACGATATTCGCAACCGCACGCGTAACAATGTTACGTTTGGAAGTGTGACGCGCAAGTCATTAGGAAAATGTTCCTATCATTTCGTCAGCGACCTTCAGAAGGTCGGAGAACAGAACGTTGAGAATATTTTATTAGTGGACACTGTACGAAAGCCTGAAACGACGTCGAATCCAAGTGTTAAACGTAACAGTGTCACGTATGACGATCCGAGCCAAAATGAGATCGCAATGAAACGTTTATTAGCCTCACACGATGCGTCGAATCCTCAGCCGAGCATTTTTTAGATGACGAACGGTCACGTAGAGAGATTGCACGTTGTGCGTGTCCGTCAAACACCTGGGTGGAACCTTGATCATCTGACGTTCGAACACGTCCGCTAGAAAATTACAGCGGTGATCCGTGAACGTCGCGTCATCGACCGAAGGATCGATTCGAGAGGTCACCTAGAGTAACCTGAGGTGGAACCACGAGCATCACGTGCTGCAGATAGGAGGCGATGTCGAACAGTCCGGTCAGAAGGTCCTCGAAGAAATGGCCAGTGTATCGTTTGTCCCACGCAAGGAAGTGCACGAACAACGCGTTTCTTTCCGTCACGTTTTCCAACCTTTTATAAACCAAAGATACCCATGGCCTTGTAATTGCTTTCAATGTACATGGCGTATAGAAAATTCTTATATTACTTAAGATAGTGGAAAACGAATAGTTATCGAGAAAATATTAAGAGCAGCGTTCGTTGACTCTCCCCGTTTCTCGACCGTTACAGATCCGTAACATCAAGTGGAGCAGAAACGCGCCAATCTTCAATAGATAATTAATACGTATCCGAATGAAAGGTTGACTCGTTTACCTGTACAACGTGTTTAGCCAACACAGCCAATCTCGCGGAATCACAGGCAACACGTTAGGATAATTGCACAGGCATATGCCTGATACTAAGTCTCGTTTCTCGTTGCACTGGACGATAGACAAGCAACTGGTCTCGCTGTAGACGAAACATTTATTTTTATTTTCTTTAAATAAGTGTTATTCGCAGGAATTACAAGATCCGTCCAAGGTCCGGCTCTTGGAAAATGTAGTCCGTCTCCGAGCATATCAATCGTTCCAGAATCGGTAGATCGGCATGCTCCATCCGTCTGACGGTAGTGATCTTCGAAAGCGCATCTTGCCCTTCGTCCGAGAAATACTTCATTGGATCGTCGAACCAAATATTTAGCATCTTGGAGAAGCGACAAGCTTGGTTAAGAATTTAATCGACTGAAACTGCCGCGAGATTTTTGATAGATCGAGAAAAGGGCGGAAGCTCGCGTTGGTGAATAAGGTTTTATTTTCTCGGTAAACAATGGGGTACGAAATTAGGCGATCACGCGATCAATGATCGATTTATTTACTGCTGATCGAATGACCATGGGAAACGCGAGTCTGACTACATATATGAGTCCGACAGGACGACCGACTTTAACGCCCGCAAAAAAGGTAATAACGAAACTGCCTGAACGATTTAAACGAAGGGGAAGCAAAGTAATTGCTTCGCGTTCTCGTTCGCCTTTCTTCTGGCCGCGTTAAGCGTCGTTCACACTGTTCGATCGTGTTCCATGGAATAACAAGTAATAGGATTACCGAATTGAAATACGGTTAACTAGAAATATCTGCTTTTTCGACTACGAAACAACCATCTTCGTAACTCGAAATAGAGAGCAACACCGTAATCCCGGAAATAGTAAAGAGCCGAGTAAATGCAGTTTCACCGTTGACGAATGTCTGTAACGCTTCTGGCGAACGTTGAAGCTGTTTTTCTTTGCGGTACGCCACAACACGCATCACGGAAGTTATTCACACGATACTTAGCGTGTAATACGGCTACCACGTGTGTTTACCATGATGCAATCGTTGTAGCACTTTGAGTCGTTTAAGCTAACTTCGTTGACGACAGTATCCTTATGGCTCGTTGTGTCGTTTGAGGCGGTTTTCATCTACGATACCATCGTTACATCGCGTCGAGTCTCTCACGCTATAATCCTTGTATCGTGACACGCTGAATCGTCGAAACGATTGTCATGGACAACGTTTCATAGGATCTTGAGTCGAGATGCTCGTTGTCGATGCAATCGTTACACCGCATTGAGTCATAAGAATTTCGTCGACGATGCAATCGCGGCACGTAAATGTCAGAGCAGACAGATCTGTCGTGGAAGCACCTTGAAACGATTTTCCTCGACATTGGAACAGTTCTGCCGACCCATAGTTCTTCCCCAGTTTTCGCTTGCAGACCATCGACGCAAATTTATTTTGACATGTTGATCCTCCCTACTCTACCTCCCGGAAACGCTAAATAGAACTCGAGAAGTTTCCGAGAAATGTTCGTAAAGCGAAAACGCACGCTTGGCATCGTACGGTTTGGCGCAGCATGATCTGTTTTTGAATTCGCGAATTTATCTTTCACGGCTGTTCTTCGATGAACCTTTGTCAACGAGTGGCTAAGTGGTCGTTCGAAGCAATTGCAGTTAATTAAGTGAAACTCGAGGGAAAGAAATTAGCAAGGAGAAACGTGTGAGCATGCATAAGGCGATCGATTATCGTTTACGAACAAAACGAGGCTTCTCTTGTAAGAAACGGTTTAGAAACGAGCCAAAGAGGAGCTTCTTCTCCATCGTTCATCCCTAATTAGCTCGTTGGAGATCCGCCGACTGATTACAGGCCACGAGAGATCATTCCATCGTGGAAGAAACACGAACTACAAGATTTTATTATAATAATAACTGCAAGAAACCCGGAAGACACGATTCGTGCTTCAATGCCTTTGTTATCGTCGACTTCCCGCGGTTCTTTGGCCAAAGAAAATTTCAAGAATATGCAGTCACGAGGGGCGGATATTTGTTTTGTTCGAGGAATAATACATAATATGGGCCATTGAACGAGCAACGATTCGTAACACGAGTTACATCAGAGCAAACGTCGTACGAATTTCCGAGTTGCGAAACACCGACTCGTTGTTCCTTTACTTTTACTTTTACCAGGGTTCTCACAATTCCACGCCGAGCGAGTCGACGCGACACGAATCAAATCTTGCTTTTAGTCTAAAAAGGTTGTGCTGGGACATCTCTTTGAAACTTTAACAAACGTTTCTCAAACGATGTCTGGTTGAAATGATTATTGATTCATCACCACGAATATCACCATCCTCCCTATCGCATCATCGTAAATCTCACTTTTTATTATTGCAATTATATCAAATGCAACGGGAGACTTTGAAAATTTCACACGTTTATGCACCGTTATTGCAAACACTGATAATCCGTTTTTCTTTCACAAGCACGTGCTCTTTCTACTAACTTTTCCGATCTCCTTTGTCTCGTTCTGGCAATACGTCGTAAAAACGCGACGTTGTTTTGCGTCATTAGCAGTCTTATCTATACCCAGGTATCGTCGTTAAGTTAATTAACGACGATCGAACGGCTCGCTTTCAAACGGTAACGACAACCTATTTTACGAATTTGACGCAGCTTCTGTTGTTTCTAGTTAACAATGCTATGTTTCCTATTTGCTAATGATAACGGTAACTGCTAATTAATTGGCAATTAATTGCTAGTTACCATGATTTGCATATGCTTTGTCGTGGGAGAATATTACTCAACTGACGAAAAAAATTCTACACCCAAAAATATTAAAATAAAAAGCAAAACACAGACTCCTGTTCCACCCTCAATTCATTTAACACTTCGGACACATGGTTTCCCGGGATTATTTAAATTTCATGAAATTCGCTTTGTAACATTTAAAAACTTGATAACTAATGAATCGCATAAACTTTTAAATAGTTGTATTGAAACGCGTTAAAGTATGTTAAAGAAGAGTTGAAACATAATGGTACACGATCAGTCATCGACTCGAACAAGAAGTTATTAGCAGGAGAAAATAACCCATAAACGTCAAAGTTGGTGCTTACCTGTTGCTTGTCGAGCTTTGACTTGTGTCGGGGGAAAACTGTCCAGAGAACGAGCGACACCCTCACTCTAGAACGGTGCGCAGTAGACTGAAACGAAACTGTGGACTTTCGGAGATCAAACACAGCAGTCTGCAACTGCAATGTGAAAGAGCGCCGAACAAAGACAGACAGATAGAGAGAGAAGAACGGAGATACCTAGGAAAGTATAATGTTTATACCTGGTGCGAATGGTCGATCTCGAGTTATTAAGAAAATGAGAAGCGAACAAAAATTCTCCGTAGCTTTTACATTCAGCTTTCTCCGTGTATCTCGTTCGATTTCTTTCTGGGAATCACTTTTCTAGAAGCGGTTTTTCGAGATAAAATAGATTTCGCCGTCTGGAGGCATCTTGAAAAAACAGGACCGAGCTAAGAATTTGATCGAGCAATTATAGAATTATTAAATTAGTTTAATGGGGTTTCATCGACTGGACGGTGGCCAACTTTGTTAACTTGAATTCCTGCTAAATCTAGAATTGAACACGTGGCTAGTAACTGTATACGATAAAGCGTCCTTCGCCTAGTTGCATCACCCACGATGGAATTGCTCTAATTATGCAAAGGTGCCGCGATTAATCTGCAAGGTAAACAGCGAGAAATTTTCTTCGTTACGGTGTTCCGCGTGATAGGCAATCCCTGATTACGATGCAGTACACTTTTTATCGAGAATGAAATAGGGTACACAAGTCTTAAAAATATAACATTTATTGAACATGATCTGATCTTACAAACGAAACATTATTATACGGTTGTTATTAAATCACATAAGTAAATAATGCTTTGTTGCAATAAATTAGGAAATTTATTATTATCTTTATTAACTACTATCACAAAGGCTTGTGGATTCGATTTCGGAACGACAGAGAAAGTGATTGAAATCCAAAACAGACGGATGTAGTCTCGTTAATCTGGAAAATGTAAGACATCTTTTTTATTCGGACACGATCGTCGACTGTTCGTTGGGCTCGAAATTCTCATACCACGGCAAGACTCTGCGACTAATCCGGCATTAGGAAAGTTTTCGGTAAGAAAGACCGATAATCTCGTAACTCTGTCTCGCTATATCGTAATTACTTAACACGTTGACTGTCATCTGTAGTATAACTTAATCGAATAGATCAAGAAAATAAAAAAAGACGTTAAATATTACTAAAGTTGTGTTAGTAACTTGCAATTGAAGTATTTGTAAAGAAAATAGTGTTAGAAAAATAATAAAGTGTTTTCCTATGATTAATTTATTACGCTAGAATAATCGCTATAGTGCACTACATTTAAATACCGTGAAGTTGATCTATCTTTGATATTACCGTGTGTCGCACTAAGCATGGTTGCTTCTACTGTACCAGTCAACATGTTAAATCAACTCGCGTACGCATTGCTACTCAAAAATCTTAAGACGTTTAATACCACGTAAATCTAAGAAAAAGTGTTCGGTAATTAAGGGCTATAAAGACATACTCGATAGTACATCGAAAATCATACCAAAAAAACTGCTGGATTGTTTAATTATATGTTCAGATTTTTTACAATGATTTTCTGCACAGTTTTCATGATCTAATTTTTCCTTCTGGTATACCGCTGTTCATGGATCACCGATTCACTTCAACTTCCCTACATTCAAATTGCACTGTACCCACTTTAAATGCGTTTTACACTTTTGGCAAGTACATAAAAATTGATCGGAGCAATAAACAAGTAGCCTGAGGCTTTTCAACGAAAGCGTATTACCTAGCACATTTTGTATACCATTACCATTACTCTATTAAATCGGTGACTAATTAAAAAATCTTGTCGTATGAAATCACAAACAAAAACTATACTGTATGTCAGAGAAATAGAAACGCATTTATTTCTTGATGCAGTCTTTCGAGGGCTTAAAATAAACTACTTTTCGCGCTGAGAAAAATAGACGATAATTTGTTCGATCGTATTTCAAGGGACGTTTATTTCTAATGGAAAAAATCGTACGAGCTGTGTTCGCGATTCAATCTATTCGGGATTACATAAAATTAGCGATAGAAAAATGGAAGATTGAAGCACAAAACGCGTGCACAAGGAAGCGTACGGTATTGCGTTAAACGTTTGAAGAAATACAAAGACAAGTTACAATTAGATGCGAGCGTTTTGGCGACTGTTCTTTAAAGATCGCAGCTTTTGGTATCATGAGATTACAGAAATTTCATCGACTAAATGTACATGTAATAAGTGGTAACAAAACTTATTCAAACTTAGTGATTTACAGCTTTTCCAAGCGGTCAAACTTCTCGTTTGAGCAACAATATCGACTTGGTCGCGTTCGAAAACTATCATTACCCACGGTACCGAAATTTGAGCGACTTTATTATACGAGAAACGAAATTTTCTCGAGCAAAATTTCCAGAGATCGATACCCCAACGATTCAAATTTTGAATTCGCAACAGTTTCTCTGTATGATATATATCACAATAAAACTATGCGTCTTTTCACCCGTCTTCGTTCACTCATTGGAAGACGTTATCTTTGATTCTCCACCGTGTCCCTGGCTCGATGATCATTCTCAACCTTGTACAATACGTCGTGACAAAGCGGACAACGATCTTGTATGTACAACCACTTCCGTAGACAAACGCTATGAAAGTAATGATTGCAATGCGTGATCTTGGCGCTTTCCATCTCTTGATAGCAGATAGCACAGACGTCGTCCAATTTCTGAAGTTCTTCGGTTTTAGCTTCCGACAAGGAATTGATTTTGTTCACGGCCATTCGACGTTTCATAAATACGCTCCATCCAGCCTTAGCCTCGCACCAAATGTTGAAATAAGCGTGTATGCATATCATGATCGCGCGTATCGCTCCGCCCGATTCGAACACTAAAATCCAAAAGCCATTGATGAACAGGATGATGCCAAATGCAAACTCGATGGTGTTACCAAATGACCGTATGATGTAGACACAATCGTCCAATTGCTCCCAGAACACGCTGCGATAAGCGTCGATGAGGAACAGAGAGTAGATAGCGAGCGATATTAACACCTTTACGATCACCTCGATACTAAATACCGATATCGCCAATAACCACGTGCTTACGGTGTAGTGTGACCAAAAGAACGTCAACAGCGACACTGGTAGTGATATTAGAAACACGCATACAGCCAGGGCACGAAGATGTCGATGAAGAGCCGGATTGTGAGAGGCACTCAGTGACATTAACAGAGGATTCACGATATTATGTACGAAGTGTAGAACTGCCATGAGTAGCAGGCAAAAGTTATGGCATAATTTGACCAAACGTTTCTCTCGGTCCAAGCTGGTTAGTCCCGTCTGAAGAGACAAAATGTAGAACAAAGTCGCGGATAGAGCGCCGATACTTTTCTCGTCTCCGTCCTCCCTTAACAGTACCCATTGAAAGAAGCATCCTATGTAATGGCAAATGATCGATATTATACTGGTCATTCCCAAGACCGCTATCAGAGTCTCACAACCATTGACCAACAGAGTTTTGATCATTGACGTATAAGTGAATGTCTCTTCGCCGTAATGGTTACTAAGAATTTGGATCACTTGTCCGCTCATACGTAATATCCAAAATGTACGCAACACGCAAGGTACGTTCAATCGGATCCACTCTGTTTCCACGAGTGCTGACAATCCGTAATTACTTACAAAATTACGCGCGTGTTGGTAACCTATATACAATGTCTTTAATATGGCGATCCCGTTATACCATATAATAAATTTACAGACTGCCAAAGGTAAAAGTGCAGCGAACACAGGAGCGTGATACAGAACTTGCGTCTAAAACAGATAAGATACATTCAGTTGTTTATGTTCAAATAAATAAAGAACACGTGATTTTTTATATAAAATAAAACGAATGTAACAAACATGCTGTGTACCATGCCTTAAGAGGCATTACAGTCGCGCATGCAAGTTACCTTGGAGTACAATTTCTTAAAATTGAAATAAGCATATTAAATTGAACTTACCGGAAGAGGACAGATGCCCAGTATTGATGGTGCCATAAAACTTAATACAAGAAGTTTTTGTTGAATTGGATGCCTTGGTGCAAGATGAATGTAACAAAAAACACTAGCTAATAAGCATTGCAATACATAGTTTTGAATGATCAAGAGGCCAGGTCCTTCGTTTAAAACATATTTTAAATTAAGACACAAAATGTCATCAAGTATGCTTGATACAGATTCATGTGCGTTTACATATGTTATAATAGCTTTCATTGTACTAACATTTGACCAATAGGATATAAATACTGCTCCTACTGATATTAAATATAGGTATATGATTACTAGATGTTTTGTCCATAACATAAATGTGCATATTGCAGCAACATATCCTGAAAAAATATTTCTCTATCAAATACCAATTTTTATTATATTGCTTTCAATAATTTTAAAACTACACATTAAAAGAAATCAAACATGTGTCAGCTGTGTATAATTTGACTGACGTTTCATGAATACTATGCCAATTGTATAACACAAGGTTTGCTCCTCTTTACATATACAATGACCTAAGTAAATTAACCCCAGTATTCTGAATATAAAAGCACCATTCTATTATTGATAACTTGCATTCCTTCAAATTTATTTATCCTAAATACTATTTATTCTCTACTAGATTATAACAAAATTATACAACAATATTTACATGGAATAGTAAAACACACAACATCTCAAGACTATTAACTAAATACATTTAAGTACAGAAACATTTTAATTTGACTAACTGATAAATAATGTACAAATAAATATATGGATTACTTATAAATTAAATGTCTTACCTACACAGCAGCACAGATACTTCAATGCAATTATGAAATATATTTTATAGGAAAGGTGATCAAAATCAAATGGATTTATCATTAATGAACTGGATATCAGAGAGTCATTGATGCTGTCAGAAACTTCCGATACTTTAAAACCATTTTCCGTGCTGTCCAGCACGGTATCATTGGATAATCCAAATCCAATTCTGAGTAATTCATCTATGATAAACAAAGGTGGAACCCTAATAATAATGTCGGCAAAGGTTAGAAATCTTTCGCGCATAGTGCTATCCATTTTCACGTTTCTTCTTTCCTAGTTTATCCTTTTAAGATTAATACTTTGTGTTTATGAAAAACAACAACTGTGTTGATAATATAGTGCAACTGAATTTAGTTCATGTAGTACCTAAACCGAAAGAATTAAATTAAGAGGTTTATACATAGGTTCATATATTTTACATTATTTCATTGACATGTTAAATAACACTCAGGAACATGTAAGCTTACCTTTAAAATCAAAAAGTTCTTATGATTGCATCCTTGAGTCACTCTTATTTTATATAAATAACCTAACTGGAATGCTTTGTATCAGCAAAACTGGTTGAAATTGGAACGTCCCAAGAACTGTGAATTATTATTTAGTCATAATCGACGGATAAAATTCACAAAGAAATTATCTATGTAACAAATACATAGTAAAATTTTCAAAATTTTATTGGATCCATGAATCGAATTTAATCCTTTCGGATGATTCTATTGCAAAAGTTTAATGATAAAAAGCTGCCGATTAATATTGTCTCAGTTACAGGTTACACGATGAATGGAATTGTTTCATGATATTATGAAAAAGATTTTGCTATTGTGCTTGAATGTCGAGACAACAGGTAGAATTTGAGAGTTTTCGGTCTTCGATCTTCTGTCAACCTTGTTTTCTTCTACCCGTTAGAAGTCAGATCGTATTTCTAATGTTTGTTATTTACACACAATAATAGCAATTAAACGGGTGAACGTGATAGTAATGGAATTCAAACTAAACTACGTTTTCACAGCACACGTAATTTTTCCCGATGTAAATCGTTGTTGCGTATACTTTACAGGTTACGTAGAAACATGTACGAAGAATTTGAACGATTTGAACAGATGGCGTTGTATACTTTCAATTTATGAATGTGTTTATATGCATTGTTTAATAAGTTAATAGACGAATACATATATATTATGCGCATCTCGAGAATTCAAATTATGTAATGAAGAGATTATTTTAGTATATCGTTGCATATAGTTAACCGCATTGCAGATTAGTAGGAAATATAATTTATTAAAATAAGTGAAATCTTATCCTGGGCGAAGCTGTACTTGTATAAAAATGCAAAAAATTGCGGAAAAAACCATGTGAAAGGAAACTCTTTCCATGCTTTAATGCCAAACCGATTTGTAAGTTTGAATTTTCGTTGTTAATTAAAATATGTTTATGTACAAAATGTGCATGCAATGGAACAAGAAATATGTCATGAATATGTATGTACAAATATATCATTATAGATTCAATATCAGTAATTTTATTATGCAAATTCATAATTTTATTGTTATTAGTATCATGTACCCTTTATCGTTCGCTCGCAAAAATAAAAGGTAGTGATCGTAAAGATATTACAATGACGACGAAAGAAAAGGAGGGACGGGAATGAGGAGATTAATATTAAAATTTCAATCAGTTCTGGAAGCATTCGTTCAATCTCAGTCAATACTACTGGAAACGCATTCTTTATCGACATCGAATATATGTGTCCTTCAAATATGCAACTTACGTTTGAATGATTCAACGCAAAAATTTTTCGAAAATTTTCTAAAGATCGTAACTCAATGTCAAAACGAGTGTCGTATCTGCCTGACAATATTCGATGCTTAAATGCGCATATCATTTCATCTTGAAACAAGGATAATAAATAAAAGATTCATTGGCCTCCCTGTCTTTTTACAGACATGCAACAACACAGACGTGCGGAGTACAGAATATTCATACTTGTCATTCGTTCAGAAACTAGCTACCATGTTAACTTATTTATATCTCGGCGCAATATTCGTTCGTTTCTCTGAATTAATCAAATCTTAATGCGCTTTACATATGCTACCGTAATGCTACATTTATAATACAAGTGTCTTTTCATTTTGCGTCCATGTGAATATTTCTCCGACGTTCCAGGACTCTTACAAATCCCTGATAAGCCACCGGTACATCTTATCGGGACAAGTGTTTGCGCTCGCAGCATTTTAACATGATTCTACATTTATACTGTTCATTCTGTTTTGCATGAATTTCGTTCGCCATTCGCTCTCGTTATCGCTGACATCATTTGAGGCACATTAATTACGGTACAAAATATAATTCGACGATCTCGAAGATGTTCAAGTACAACGTTGGTAATCGAAAATATCCGAGATTCAGTCGAGGATCCATTGAAACAATTACGATCAGGCTGAATGATAGAGTCGTAAAGCAGGAGTGAAAATTATTGTTATTCGATTGCTGTTCGGTTTTGTTCATTATTCATTTCCTTAATGCTTTACAATCATTCTTCCCGCTATCCTAATGCGTGCCTTACGCTTCCTCGATTACATCAATTTTTGTTTTTTTTTTTGTTCGTTATCGGTAAAAATTTGAGACCACTGTTATATTAATATCAATGCGTGCGTTGACTGCCACGTTGGAGTTATTCAAAATTACATTAGGTAGTACTCTTACTTTTAACAAATCTTATCTATTAAATTCACAATATTTCATTATATCTATTATCCGTAACTTCGAATATTTACTACGAATATTTCTAATTAAGAAAGTAAAAAAATTCTTAATAATATCGGTGATGGATTTCTATGGAATTTCAAACATCATCCACGTGCGTGGCAATCGACGTATTTCATAGCTGCTTTGATCATCGGTAGGGACAGAAATGGAATATTTTAGTCCCAAATTTTCCACCGATAGTACGTATTCGAAGCATATTAATGCTTTTTACAAAAAATCCGTACCGTGCAGACGTACAATTTTGGATCTCGAAAAAGAACTCGACCGTTTCTCTCGATTTGGTGTTCTGAAAAAGAAATAAAAATAATAGTAAGGTACAATGGATAAAATAGAAAATAAAAATGACGACGATATTACACGTAACGTTCTATGGCACGATTCTTCTTAATTCGACGATGGATTGGTACATCCATAATCGTTCTTTCTACCTAATTGCGTGTACATTAGCGAGAAGAAATGAATTATATACTAATATTCGAAAAGAGAAAATAAAGGAAAGGAAAGATTAACTCGGTCGTGAGTCTTGCTATTGCAAATATAACCCGTTTCAAATGTGGTCATTATCTCACACGCAAGACAGGTAAAAAGACTCATTTCACGACGTATTTTCTATAAAAAACGCTAAGTATGGACTAATAATATGTGATACCTTAAGAAAAATAGAGCTCCAACATTCGGCTAGTAAATTACGATGACGTTTATTATCACAACGAGACAGGTCCTGCGTGCCAAAAATTCTACTTTGCTCAGCGTTCCATTTTTTTTACTTTTTACTTTTACATCGATTCGGATTGTCCGATGCACGGATGCAGCGATGATACGACGTCGTAAGGCATTGTTTATATGTATACATATTTCTTTTTAAATAGTCAGAATGTTAGTTATGCATGAAACCTTCTGTTTCGCCCCCTCGTATTAAGCAAGCGAATATAAATTGCGTTTAGTTTCAGTGTCGTTCATTTTTGTTGTTTCTCATCTGACAATTTGTCGTTATTTCAGTCCCAGTATTACATTAATAAGAAGGATCTAACGGGAGCCCCAGGCTCTTCGTTGCATTACATCGAGTGTTGTCGGAATAGAACGGTTCCAGTAAAATTTGTCTCACTGCGAGAAACAAGTACTTATCGTTTTATTCCGGTCACTGAACATGATCATTTTAATTCACAATCAATTAATTACATCATCTTCGACATCATATGCTATCTAGCTTACTGAACAGATCAAATCGTCATCACCGTGACTAAACCTGCATAGCAGTTAACAAAATAAACAAAATAACGCAGAATCCCTATCGTATTAATATTAATAATAGTAATAATAATAATAGTAATAATAGCAATAAGAATATTAATATTACTTATCGTAAAAAATAATTCTACGTTTTTTGTTCGAGCACAGAACGAATTTCGCGGTTCCTTTGCGCATAATATCCATTTCAACAACATACACATCACGATTACAGCTTATCGATTATGATTTTGCATTTTTTTTTATTCGTGCGTCTTTTTTTCACGTCCTTCACTGTGAGTACATAATTACCTAAATGTTGTATTACAAGGATACTGAATAACAATTCTGGTTCGTTACAAGACTATTACGTTTCGTGCATTGCAGTAAAATAAACGTGTGTTAATTATTTCAATCAAACATGGCAAAAAATTCTCCTTGATAACGCAAGAAACGTAATAACGTGTAACACGCTTTTATTTTTTAATCCAATGGCTAAAACTTAATGCTTACACAATACAGATCGTTTAAGTAAGAATGCGATTAGTCAAAACCAATCAAAGCGCATAATTTAAAAAATTTTCATATCACGTAAGTTTGTTTTGTGGCCAAAGTGTAGATCTTTCGAACAATTTATTGCGTAGATAATTTGTTTCTTCTTTTATATAAAACTATATGATGCCTGTATCATTAAGAAACCTCGAAAATCGTTTGTTAATCTTCTATTTCAAGAATTTTAACAATTCTCGTTTAAACGCGAAAATTGTTAATCGTAATTCTCTATCATGTACAATTTAAGTCACCGATATAAGCTATGTCCTGCTAAGACATTTTTTCACTGTTTCTTTTTAATCGATTAGAAAATTTCAATGTTATTCACCTTGATCGCAATCGATAAACCGTGCGTATATTTCGGTTATTGTTACGTTCAAATTTTATTCCTCTAAATTTCGAAAGTTGAAAAATTACATTCCGCTAATAAACGTACATTATTCAGCACATTTAGTTTACATAAACTCTGCAAGCCCAGCTTACCATCGTCAAATGCACTTTTCTTAATTTTAGTCTGTGTACGAAATCGCTGTTTATATGCATAAGTGTATAAGTGTTAATAAGTTATCAATACGAAATATTAGAAAATCTGTATTTCATCTAACAGTTACCAGAATTTCCATGTACCTCTTGATCGAGTTATTATTTTTGTTCTGAAAGCGGCAATCGATAAATGGTGATTTACACCTATGCTGTTTTTTATTGCTTAATGTATGTAATGCGTTGATGCAAATTATTTATCCATGAATTTTCAGCAAACGGTGAAGTTTGTATCATTCCAGATTTTGACTCGTATCGGCGAATATTTGTATTTTGATCAACATACCGTAAAAGGTATACGTAAAACATACATATTTTATTTAAAAAAAAGAAGACAAAAAATAGATAATAATAGGCCTATGATTTAATATTATCCCTGATTAAATAATCATGATAAATGACTAATTCAAATTATCGAAAGCTTGATTACTTTGTAATGGTAACTGCCGGCATACATTAACACATTTAATGCTATTATTATTAATTACGAAAATATCTTTATTCTAGGATCAACAAACTTTACGAAGAAACAATAATTTCGATAATTTTGAATTAACTATCTATTGAAAGTAATAAAACTGTACTACATGAAAGCTTACGAAGAAGAATACTGAGTTGAGAATAAAAGGATGAAATGTTACAGCTAAATCTCATTGGCACATACGACCACTTCCGCTTTTTAATTTTACACTTCTTAGGCATTTTTTCATGTTGCAAATTAACTTACTGAATAAATGTAGGTGTCACGGTCATCTACCGAGAGTGCCGCGTAATCGCGTTTAGCGATCTTTCGTTCTTCGAATTTGATTATTTTATCATATTTCTTTAATAAATACCGTTCCATGAGTGAAAAAGGTGTCTCTGTAAAAAGCGTTCCAAAACGAACGGTATCAAAATTTGTACGGTACAAGCAAACGGAACACATTGATATCTCGTTAAAATAGTTAATCAATAACCGCCAACACGAGTCTGTCATTTGGTTGAACTATACAGTTTTTCATCAATGGGCAATGATTCCACGTGCATTTTATTTGAACTAGCGGATTTTGGTAGTTTGAAGAGCTATACATATGTTTCTGCTTGCATGCATTTATATACACATAACGCGCGACAAGGTGTTACGTGCAATTCTGTATGTCTGTGTGTACATAATGTGTATGAATAATGTGAGCTGCGTGGACGGCGCTACGTACACCACTCTTCGGTCAGTCAATCATTGACACATTAGTAGTCGACTTTCGTCAATGTAATTCAGACACCACTTGTTCCACTGGAACATTTTAGTTGAACGTGCCCTGCTCACGTCAATATATACCGTTGTATAATCTGAACGAAACGAAAAAAAAAAAAGATCTTCATTACTTCGACCAATGTGTATATTTGCTCGAGGTTTAACATAATTTTAAATAAACATACTTGCATACAGATGTGCTAGAGTTTGTCTTGGAATAGGAAGAGATTATTCGTAGCAGCAACAGCTACCACATTTTCAGATGGATGCCAAGCAGTATGTAATATCTTTTTATTGAAATCCAGGCAGTCGACGCTAATTTCATCTTTTTTACGTTTACCACCAGTACAGACCTTTATGATAAAGCGAATATGTTACACACGAACGAGAAGCTATATGCATTTATACTCACTTTACGTGGTTTTAGAAGTGTTTTTGGTTTGGCAATGTCACGTGCTGCTTCCAATGTGAGGTCACGTTTAGTTGTACGATCGAACACTCTGAAGAAATTATTATATGAACCTGTCATAATTGCGGAATCATTACCACTCCAGCAACACTCAAATTTGTCAAAGATGCAATCATTCTCATACAATGAACATAACTTTGATCTTAGGTATTCATGTACCTAAAATTATTAAATTAATAAATATCTTACTTATAAAGCATAAGAAAATAAATCCATATGCTTGTTACATACAGGGTAACATTCAATGGGTTTTGTTTCCATTTGTAAATCCCACACTTTCACACTGAGGTAGTCTCTACTGATCATATATCTTCCTGAATTACTAAGTTTTACGTCGCTTATACTTGAAATTATTTCAGAGAAAAAACTTCGATTTGTTGGATCTTCTGGTTCTTCAAAAAGTTTACTGTGTTGGTCACAAAGTGCAGCAGATCTCATGTCACAAAGTCTAATTGTTCCTTTGCTACTACTATATACCAAGACATTACACTCTGCTGGATGAAATTCTGCAGCAGTTATAACTTCTGTTAATTCCTCCATATTAGTTGGCTTAATGTCTACTATATCTGTATACAATTTGTTAAGAAAAAGACGCACCCTATTTTTAAAGCTTTACAACAATTTATTGATACAATACAAATATCAAGTGACAAATGTTTGAAAAATGAAATGAACAGTAGATAATATAGAAAAAGGATACTAAAACTCTGGTCTGTGATCTCAAGATGCCAAAGATTAATTCTAAGGTCATCAGCACTGAGGTATGTCTCTTGATCACTGTTGACACTTATACTGTTTATATGATAGGTGTGCGCATTGGCAAATATTCTTCTTGGTGATGCCTCTACCATTAATTCCATTGGTTTTATAGTTGGTACCTAAATGATTAAATAATTAGGTAGTACAGACACATATCTTGAAAGCCTTGTTTCATGCAATGTTTATGAAAACCATAAATAGGTTCCACTGTTACAATGCCAAACTCTCAATGTTATGTGCATATTTGAACTTCTTGACCATTTCTATTGTAAGTATTTTTTGTTAGATATACAATAGTACAGAAGATACTATTTATATAAGAGTTTGGTATACAAAATATAATTTTAAATTATTTTATTTACATTTTATAATTAATACATTTCCAATTTTTAAGTAGTTCATAAAATTTAATATATATAATTAGAACTATTTATTGGAATAAAATTATACTGATATTTAATAGGACTTACCCTCAAGGAAGTGATACAAGCAGGATCACGAATCGTACCATTTTCTTCCTTTGTATTATAACCCTCTACTCTTTTATCGCGTTCACTAACTTTCCACAATTTAATAGTTTTATCATTTGTGGAAAGTAAAAAATGTGCAGGATTTTTCCTTTTTAGCCACCTAATTTTGTTAATTTTTTCTTCTATCTCTAATGATTTCAGGTAATCAAATTCAGGTTCATGACTTTGGAAGGTGCTGTATACATTGTATTCACCTCTCCGAGGTATACTGTTTTTACTCTATACAAATGTAAATTTTTCTTCATTATTTTAAAATGTCATTAAACATTACTTATTTCTTTTGTTTAAATTTATCAAAACTATTTGCAAATAAATAAAAAAAACATTTAAAATGTTGCTTCTTTTCATTGTTTCAATGATTATCTTTAGAACTTTTCTAAAGATAGGAAAATGTAACATACAGTTGGCAATAATCCAATACTAACGTATAAACATAATTTTTATTTAAAGGATGAGCTTGTCTTTATTAAGAGCACGAAGATTAACATATTCAAACAGATATAAATATAGATAATATTATAAAATTACTTCAACTTACAATGGGGTCTCTTTGAAAAATAACAACCCGTCCACCTTTATCTCCCGTTGCAAGAAGATCGCCATCGTGATTAAATTCAACGCACGAGATTATATCAGCTAGAATAGAATATTTATTTATAAGATTTATTAATCCCATATAATTTGAAACAGAAAATGAAACAAAGAACTTTGATTATTCTAAACTCTAGTTTAATTACTTTATAAATCAAAATATATTCTAACATCTACAATCACAAAGTAGGAGCACCTGTTTTCTTCGGTTTAGTAAATGCTAACTGATAAGATAACATTCTTAAAGAATGTAAGCAAACTCCAAATTGAAGTTACCTTCTGTGACATCGTCTTCCAATGTTCCTTTTACTTGCGAGAAACACCATTGTATGTCGCCATTGCCTGAAACAGAAGTATAAAAACACTGTACACAAAGAAATTTGTTTGAAACATTAACAAACCTATACTAGATTGAACACCGTAAAATCTTTAGGTAAACAGTAAAAAGCTTCATTCTTCTGGAATATATAACATCTGATGTTCACTTTTCAAACCAATAACATGTTCATATATATAACTGTCATCACGAAATAGATCGAAAATCGATACTGCTTCTCGTTCGAATTATATCACACGATTAAAATACGAAACAAACAGATATATGATGGAAACAAGGTAGTATGGAGGTTTGCTCCAAAATTGTACGCGGTGTTTTCGCTCGATCGACTGCACGCATGAAGCACGCATGAAGCACGCACAATCGACTAAAAACAAGAAAAGCGGCACAAATCGATAAGGACAACGAGGCGAAAGGAAGAAATAGGGACAAATGCACCTGCGAAGCATGGTAAAGTAAACTTGAAAAAATGAGGGGCCACAGAGTCCCAATAAAAGAAAAACGTTTTTCATTGCAGAGCCACTGAAAAGCGATCGGAGAGAAAGACGTATGCGGGCAGCCGAAAGAACGAAGCAGCAAAAGAAAATGAAAAAACAGATCGGAAAAAAGGTAAAAGTAAGCCTACTTGAAGTTTCGGCGCAATCCATCGTGCTTCTAGGCCGTCGCCACCGCCGCCGCCGCC